GGCATACCGGTATTATTAGAATAGAAGATACATAACAACGTACCTACGTACGTACATTACTACAATGCATCTGTATACACATGGTATACGTTTATAATAAGATCTGAGATAATTAAACACCGGCGGCCAAGGCGGTGATGGCGCTGCGGGTTTAGTTCTGCGAGGTTCGTCAACGGTCAGTGCTTCCTTGCTAAAAACCAAGCCGCTTGTGAACTTGAAAAGTTAGTGGTGACGATCCAATTGAGTCAGCAGATCAGTAGTTTAGTTTGTGGGTTGATCAAGATTTTATGACACGGATTCGGTGGCAGCGAGTTACAGAATCGACACATGACATAAAACAATGCAGATGCAGACCTGGGACGTGAGATGTGTTGAAAGGGCGAGATATGATGACAGGTTGTGCAGAGTAGTAAGCTTGGCAAAGAACAAATACTACCTGCAGAATTGAGCATAATAGCAGGTACTTGTACACTTAAAATGGTAGGCGATGGACGTTCAATTAATTTATTTGACGGCTTGATTGAAGAGTGAAGATGAGAATGGAAGCTTTGACATGGGACTTGGCTGGGGGGCCTGGCTTGGTGAAGGAGGAACCACTGTATCCATCCATTCGCAAGTAAATGCAAAATTTGTCGCTGGAAAACGATCGATCAGCGTGTAAAGAAGTTTATCGGTCGATAATGAGTAGTATTTTTTGTGGTGACGGATATATGTTGGATATGCAGGTATGGACGGTAGTAGGTACATACATGATCTGTACATGGTTATAAAGGAGGCTTTTAATGTGGAGAAGACTAGAAGTTTATTATTAGAAGATTTGTCTCAGTCAACCGTTGAGCCAACGCCTACGGTTATACCTATTGATCTAAAGAAACTGATGCCCAAGATGGTTTCTCAGAACACTCAGAACAGAAACTGACGATAGCATCTTTCACACCTGATCCAAACATGTTTTGATCAAGTCATTCTCAGACTTGACTGGACTGACTGGCTGGTTTCAGAAGAAGCTGGGGTTGATTTTAGCTTGGACTGCCTTGGCTTGACTGGTCAACCACCCGCGAGGGAAACCCCTGCAGAAAATAGCTTGGCCTTGCTGTAGGGTCTGTGATTGGTAGATGATCCACTGAGATCACCCCTGCTAAAGCCCAACCAGCCACTAACATGTCTCGGGCCCCTGGTGAAGACGCGTCAGGGATCGGGGTTTGGTGTCTCAGGGGTTCAAAGACTCTTTTGGTGCATGGTTCGATGGCTTTATCCATTCATAATTGGTATTCGGGTTCTTGGAAGGGGGACCCTAGAAGTTCTGTATTTGGAGAGACTCCAGGTGTGAGGCTCTGGTTTAGTCTTTTGGGGGCACCTTCTACCACAAAACGTCCCGGAGGCCTGGGGGGCAGGTGGTCCCGGGCGTCTACACAACCTCGTCACCCCCTTCTCATCCACTACAAACCTTGCATCTCCTTGGCTTCCTTGATCCTCTCTTGTCCATCTTTTCTCATCTCGGGCATTTCTCCTCTTTTTTTCGAACCTGGGTCTGTCTATAATTGCGCTTGCCTATTGCTTATCTTATTCCTATTCTGCTCTCTCTGTCTCTTTTCTCCTTCTTCCTCCTCGTCTCCTACATCGTCTCTATTTGTCTCAAGTAAAAAACAACAAAAAGCGTTTTCGTTTTTGATTCTTTCCAACTCTCATACACTCTCTCATATCGGCTTGTCACTTGATTTGTTGTCCAGAAAGGACATGCTGCTTCCCTTGCGGCATTGTCGACTATTAGCCTCTCATTTCAGCGTCACATAGACAACAACACACATAGACTTTCAACTACAACGACGACTTCCGTCCAACAAAAAACGAGACTTGAGTCTCGCGATACGAAACCCACGAACGACTTTAACGCCGGCACGTTGGACATTCACGGGTTTTCGGGCAATTCGTTGCCATTTATCTTCTCTTCGTTCCAGGTTGATCCTCGGCCATCTTTTGTGCGCGTGCTTGCACTGCTTTGCCGACCACTTTGAGATATCTTTTGCATCTCGGACACTCCTTGTTTCTTTTTCTAATCAGCTTCCATCTCTTTCTTACATATATCGTCTCTTTGATACCATTCCCTAAGATCCTTCCCTTACAAACGACTTTCCAACTTTTCCTCGATTTTTCCACTTGATATCCCCCTGCTCTTTGGATATATCAGCAATCTATCACGATAACAACTTGCCGAAGCCGAATCCTCGATCAATTCCGAACGAGCAACGAATTTCCCGTATTTCTGTAGTATAAACTTGTACGACATTCACAATGACTCGACTTCACTCCAATTGGAGCGCCTGGAAGGTGGCCATGACAGCCGCGACCCTCGTCACTGGAGTTCTGGGTGACAGTATCCTCAGGACATCTGGTGTTACCGACTGCGGTTCTGAACCTGGCATCACTATCCAAAAGCTGGACATCAGCTACGATAACGACAAGCAGATCGTTACTTTCGACGTCTCCGGTACCAGCGACAAGGAGCAAAACGTCTCTGCAATCCTTGAGGTCAACGCCTATGGCCGCAAGGTTTACGAAAATTCCATCAACCCTTGCAGCAAAGACACTCCTATCCCTCAGCTCTGCCCCATGCCCAACACACACTTTGCCGCCAAAGGTGACCAGGAAATCAAGCCGGAATGGGCCAACCAAGTTCCCGCCATTGCTTTCCAAGTCCCCGACATCTCAGCCCAAGCGACCCTCAGACTGGTAGCTGTCGACGACCCTGACAAGCAAATCGCTTGCTTCCAAACCCAGGTCAACAATGGCAAGACTGCTTCGGTTCCCGCTGTCACCTACATCTCCGCTGGTGTTGTCGGTGCTGCTCTTCTCGTCTCGGGTGCTTCTGCCGCTTCATCCACTTTGAGTGGAACTGCAGGCGCTGGTTCTGCTGGTGGTGCTCCCAGCCCCAGCTTTGCCCAAACTCTGGGATGGTTCCAGGGAATGGCCATGAACGGAATGCTTTCCGTCGATTACCCTCCTGTGTACCGCAGTTTCACCAAAAACTTTGGTTTCTCTGCTGGTATTATTCCCTGGGAATCTGTGCAAAAGTCCATCGACAGCTTCCGCAACTCGACGGGAGGTGATCTCTCTACTGACAGCTTCGATATCCTCAGGAACGCCACACTTGTCTTCTCCGACAACTCTACTATGCCTCCCGAGGATCATTCCAACAAGGTCAAGCGCGCCCTCAACACCTTTGAATCGCTCGCCAACCTCGCCATTCGTGGTGTTGAAAGTTCCATGGACAACACGACAGATGGTGAGGTTGCAACTGCTGCTCAGGGTCAGACTCTGTCTGTTTCTGGCATTACGGCCTATGTTGAACAATACAGAGTTCCCAAGTACAACACATTCATGACTGTTCTTCTGGTTGTCGCTATTATCATTGCCTTCATCATCGTCAGTATTCTTTTTGTCAAGGCTGTTCTTGAGTTTTGGGCACTGTTCGGCAACTTTCCTGAATCTCTGAGCGGTTTCCGAGAACATTACTGGGGATCCATTGCTCGAACCATTACCCATCTGATTCTGGTTCTCTACGGTATCTGGGTCTTGTATTGTGTTTTCCAGTTCACAGTAGGGGACTCTTGGGTTGCGCAGCTTTTGGCTGGTATTACGCTCGCCATTTTCACTGGTATTCTGGGTTGGTTCACGTGGAAGATTTTCAGCACGGTGAAGAGACTCCAGAGCACCGAGGGCAACGCTGACGCCCTTTACAATGACAAGCAGTACTGGGTCAAGTACTCTCTGTTTTACGAATCTTACAAGAAGGACTACTGGTGGATCTTCATCCCTACCATCGTGTACCTCTTTGCTAAGGGCTGCACTCTTGCCGTCGGCGATGGTAACGGTATGGCTCAGACCATTGCACAGTTGGTTGTCGAGTCAATTATGCTCTGCTTACTTGTCTTTACGCGTCCATTTGAGCGAAAGTCCAGCAATGTCATTGGCATTGCCATCCAGACTGTCCGTGTCCTATCGGTGGCTTGCATTTTGGTCTTTGTCCACGAGCTCAACATTCCTCAAGACAGCAAGACAATTGCAGGAGTGGTTCTTATCGCAGTTCAGTCTGCCCTGACTGGTCTCTTGGTTATCCTTATCCTTTGGAACGCTATCAACGTTCTGGTCAAGGAGAACCCACACCGCAAGCGAAGAAAGGAGTTGGGTAAGTCTTTCCAAATCTAACTAATATGTGGAAAACAGCTACTGATCCAGTCTACAGAGAAAGCCAAGCGTGATATGGACACTCTCACCCCTCTGGATGCCCGAAACTCCCTTCTTCTCGACCGTAAGGACAACAACAACAACATCTCTATGTTTGCCATGCCTCCGCCTCAAGAGAAGGGATCTCTCCGATCTATGTCCCCTGACCAGTACAGGGACGCGGAGGCAGGTTACCGGCAACCCAACTACCTGTCTTCGAGCCCTCCTATGAACCGTAACCTGACTAGCACGGAGCCCGATTCTCAGCACTTGATGGGCAACGCTGCTCCTCCAGGCTGGAGTCAACAAGACCCCTATCCTGTGGGACTGGGACGCCACGACTCTGGGGACACAGCTTACGGCCAGCAGCCCTACGGGCACGGAAATGGTGGCGGATACAGAGGGTTCTGAGCAGCTGGCAACAGTTGATACTTGGGCCTTCATCCGAAAAAAAAAAAAAAACACTCTTGTACATAACGCCAGTGTATACTCTCATTTAATGTATGAGATTTACAGCTGCTTGTACAAAACAATCAAGGTACCCTTCATCTAGTTTGGGTATCGTATTTATATCTTGGGGAACGAGTGGGGAAGCACTCGAGACTTACAGCGAAAGACTTTGTTACCACGGAAGCGCATCAAATCATTCATTTTTATCAATAGAACCTTTTAACTATATGCAAACAAACAAATACTCAAAATGGTATCCTTCGTAAATTGATGCAGAAATCACGACTGTGCCACTCGCCTCCTTCCTTTCACATTTCTGTGTTCTTTCACTCCCCGTGCTTCAGTAGATATAAGTTCGATATTGCTTTGAAGCTGAATAGTCCGTCATCTCGCTTGAATACAATGCCCTCCCTCTTTCGCCCGTTGACCCCTTTACCTTCTGCACGTGCTACCAGATCTGCTACTGTAGATCCGACTTGGTTCAAGGCCCTGTATCCATGGACAGGCACATGCTCAATACCTAGCAATGGAGCCCACTTCTCATGTACCTCCCTTGGTGGTAGATATCGCTGCTCATCAATGTCGTATACTGCGAAGAGGAAAAACGAATGCGTCCCTTTTGCAAACCCCTCAAAGTTACTCTGTACGCTCGACCCGCATAGTTCGCCCTGGATAGCTACATTGCGACCAATTTTGGCTAATGTTTGGTGGAATCCCAACGCTCGCGCAGTGGCGTAGAAGAGAGGTTGGCTTCGCGGATGGTTCTCTATCTGAACTCGGTTTCTTGAACATACTCCTACGCCAACGTCTTGTATCTCATCTGGAAGTGTTTGGGATAGAGGGCTGGATCTGTCGAGATAGAATACCGTCATGGATGAGCCGTCCATCTTGGTCGATTCTTGAAAGATCTCTGAGCCATGAGTAGAGAAGACATCTGGAAGATTTTGTACACGCTCCTGCTCTGTTCGTGGGATGAATGATGGGAAGTCTGGCAGCGGCGTGCTGAGTGCTGAATCTTGAGGGAATGGTGTGGCTGGGCCCTCATATTTGCGCACGTTGAGAATATCCTCGAATCCTTTGTCTTGCAGTTCATCTGATCGAATGGCATCTAGACGATATACAATCTCAGGAAAGTAACTTAGTGGCATAAGAAGACCTTGCGACAAGACGCCCCGGATCTTGACAGTCCGAACGCGGACGTCCGGTGTATGGGTGGGACCATTGGGAAAGACGATCTTCGGGGCTAAGAAGGCAAATCGCGGATCTGAGGCCGGGAGGAGAGAGTCAATCTCGAAGTAGACACCGCGGTCGCCTGGCTTGAAGACATTGGTGGAGACAACGCATGTCCAGCCGTCAACGGTGGCTGCTTCGATGCGGTCGGCGCCGGGGATGGGTGTGATGGCTGAGACATAGCGAACTGTAACCAATTTTCGAGTCATGATGGAGAATCTGTTCCAAGAATAATAGTGGTGGCCTAATTATGTGATTCAACATGAGAATTCGTGGTAGAAAGCAGGCTATAAGAAGCCATCAAAATATCAATGCACTTTAGCCAGTCGGTGAAATGACTCAAGGACAAGGATCATGTAAGTTAGAATACGTACGGTCTGAGTCGAATCCTCAAAACATAAGACCGTGCTTCCAATGTGGCTCAGACCAATGCTTTTATATGAAAGAACAACATATTTTGCATGAAGGAGAACGTCTGTTATCTGCAGAATAAGGTTCTGAGGCATGTTGAAGAATTAGGCCACAACGATTGCTATGTAGCGACCCGGCTCTTCAAATCAATAAAGTTATAAACGTGTATTGTAAATGTATAATAAGCTTCATGACACAGCCATCAATAGCTACGTAGGGAACCATTCCTAGCGATCTCAGAAATGTAGCGGTAGTGTCAGCAACCGTTTGATGTGATCGACAAGATTGAGGTAATACGGCCGCAATGCAATATGCATGTACTCGTAGATCGGAGCTGATCCTTTAGAAGTAAACAAGATTGCCGAACAACTTTATCTCACGTGTGATATAATATCTGAAATGGCTAAAGTATAAAGAATATTGGTATTTCTGTTCTATCTTACCACTGGCTCATTAATAGAACTATGGGTTATGCATGTTGAAACCAAAACAGCATCGCGATGCATTGAAGCCTCATGATATCAACAAGGGCCATAGACTGAAAACTTGGTCCATTCTTATATTTCCATTGCCTCATGTTGATAAAGCGAGGCATGCATCAACGGCTAACCCGACCCTACGAAATGTTATTAGCACAAGACAAAACGATAGGCTCTGATATTACTCACCGGCCCTCTTTCTCATACACCACATCACTAATCACCTCCTTGTCCAGATCAGGGAACATGCCTGCCAGTGTTTCAACAACGTTTGCATGCTCTGCACGCGAAAGCCTCTGGGCTTCAGCTGCTTCGGCGCTGGCTTGCCGTGCAGCAGCCTCTTCTGCAGATAGCACCTGCTTGGTAGGTAGCTGTTGGGGTCCCAGAGGCCCCTCGAGACTTTGACGTTCTTGCGGCGCTGGAGTCCGAGGTGCACTGCTAGGACCAGCCCCCAAAGACGGACCAGGCTCGTCGGAGAACATTCTTCCTATGCTGGAGAGTGGCCTTTGTATGGTCTTGAGAAGACCAGTAATAGCAGCTTTCTCCTCGCCTGAATACTCGTCGTTTGATGTTGAATGGCGCGGCCCCTCAAAAGAGGGGCGAGCCGATGTCTCCCCAGAGAGACGCCCGGACTTCTCGTTGAAGACTGGCTGCTGTGTGACTCTTGGTGATTGAGCATGCTTTTCAGCAATTGCCGAGACAGCCTCTTCGACATGCCTCTCGAATTCCTCGTCAGTGATGGTCAAAGTGGTTCGATCCATATTTTCAATGAACTGCACAGCACCCATCTGTGACGACGTTAGTTGGTTGCCGCTTTCCCGACCCAACATAACTTACTAATGAGGATAAGTAATAGCCGGCTTCACCCCCAAGCTTTTCCTGGTTTCTGAAGCGAAGAATATACTGCACATTAGACACAAGATGCTCTGGATTCGATTGCAGAACAACATAAATAAGAAGGGGCATAAATGAGTCAGCCGAGGAATCAGACTTGTTATGTTTCAATAAACCTATCGTTGTCAGTACGATCACTTGGCTATTGTTGCTGAGGCCATCTTACCGAAGATCACCTTGCAACAGTTCAAGACACATATGATCTTGTCCCGCGGCGCCCTATATGACTTAATTTTGAGAAGCTCTGTAACCAGTTAGTACATTTCGGACTTGCAGCTTGAGATTTAGCCTGACCTTGCTGGGCTAGTTTCAAGAATCGACGCCCACTCTCACCAACCGGGGGAATATCTAGGTGTTCTTCCCTCACCCAACCATAAATGTTCATCTTCTGCCTGACAATATCGTCCCTTTCAACGTCCTCCTGGTGCTGACCTCGTCGACCAGGGCCGAGAGGAACATCCCCGCCCTTGCGTTTTGGTTTGGCTCCAGGGATTGGCTTGGGAGCTTGAATTGCGGGCGAAAATGTCTGAGTGTACAGCCTGTTCATGACCAACTTCTCCATTCCTTCTCGAGCATTGTCAAACTCGGCATCGGATGCATCCCTCCAGACCTCGCACATTGCCATTTTATTAGCAATAAAAGCTAGGAAATCTCCAATGATCTTAACCTGCTCATGAACCATCCACTGGCGCTTGCCAAACTCTGAAAGGAAAGACTTGAGGTATCTTGCCACAGGATCTGCTTTCTTGTTTCGCAGCTGCTCCAGGAACCTATGAAAGTCGAACGGCTGGATGGGTTCTGGCTCCGGCTCAGGGGGAGGAGGTCGATAGGATTGTGCTGGCGAGCTAGGCGAAGCAACACTCATGGTTCGTTCCATCTTTGGTCGTGGAGGCGTGCCATGCACACCATCTTTGGGAGGAACAGGTGGCCCGAAATCCTCGACAGCAGATTCGTTCGACGTTTCGGCAGGAGGGGAACTTGTCGAGATGTGTAAACCCTTGAACTGATTTGAGAACGTTGGCGCAAGAGGTTCTAGGCTCGACTTTCGGGGAGGATGCTGAGAGGGATGTCCCAGCATAGGCGACGCAATCTCCAATCTAGGGCTCATGACTTCTTCCTCGCCAGGGCCTCCGCCAAACTCGCTGAACTGTTGCATAATGCTCTGGATCTCTGACCGGGAGCCACCTTCTTGCTCATCTTCGCTTATATATCGTTTCTCATCATATCCGGCGTCTGATTTGGAGGGAGAGGTATCTCTAGAAATGTGGGAGCGTGCAGCATTTGAAGGTGTTCGCGAGGGTGGTTGCGAAGTTGTTGGGGTTGCAGGCGTGGGGTCAACATACGTGGACGGTTCGGCGGTGAGGTATTGAGTCGTGGCATCGTTTGACGGGGGTAATGCAATAGGCTTGATCTTGGATGCAGCCGAGATGCGGGTGTTTGAGGCACCGCTCGGAGTTGACTGGTCATCAGCTGCTTGTTTTCCCTTAGCCGTTTCTGAAGGTCCTTCCTGAGCGGCGGCGTCAGCGTTGTCGTCCTGCGACTGGTTGGTCGGCTGGTCGCTCAAGTCGATCAACTTTCCCTCTTGAGTATCGGGTTCTGATTTCGAGCCATGGTCGTCGTTGTCCGAGGTATCAGAATTCCCTATCGTAGGGTGCTGAGTAGACGTCACATCAACATCAGGTTTGCTAGACAGCGTCTTGTCTAAGACAGGCTGGCCGGACGAAGGTGTAGATTGCTCCGGCGGAGACATACAAAGCTTTCGAGGAGTTGGCGGTGGAGTAGGAAAGTTTCGAGGATCGAAGTTAGGGCGAAGGAAGGTGTGCTCGTGTGCAACAGAATAGAGTATCCATTCACTGCCCTATAAAGTTGAAGGCGCAAGCTGTAGGTATCGTGGCTAGGTTCTTGGTGAGATGGGAAAACGGTGGTTCGTCGCAGTTTAGGTCGGATGTCTAAAGAAGTTAAGGTAATGTCGGTAATATCAAGCGAAATCGCAGGTGGTTACCAAACAATCCAAAGCTTAGTATTATAGTTTGGTGAAGTTGTCGGGTCAGAGTTCTAAAATACCGTCTCTTTTTGGAGCTCAAATGGATGCCTTTCCTAGGCTACCAGGACAGCAACAGCACTGGACCTTAAAGAGGCGGCGCATGGCAGGACCCCTCATTCTCCATCTTGCCTCTCCTGCAGCTGCCTCAGCTTTTTGGGTCAGGCGGTACTTGCTGGATCCTTCACCTACTAAGGTAGGAAGCGGGGCAAACAGGTCCTCCCATGTTAGTTCCATAATTTGCAGCTATTTACAAGGTGCTGTAGTTCTGACGTTGCCACTGTTGCAGTGGGTGCGTTCCCTAAGAAGCTTCAAGCTTCCCACCACCAGATCGCATGATAATGTATGAAACTTACTTCCTACCGGATCAAGGCACGGATGAAACTTCATTCACAAATGTTCCTTCTCAAGCATAATGAAACCTTGGCCCAAAGCGATGTAACAGACCTTTTCGAATAGCAATTTTCTTTTGATCATTATAATATACATGCTTGCATTTCATCTCAATACATCCCTTGTTGTGCTAACGGAGCTGAACTGGTCTGAGCCACCACTGACACCCTCGCCGAAAGACTCATCGCCATGGCTCATGATGTCTCCTGAGAACCTGTATATAAATTCATGATGTCTCAATAATGAAGAAAAACTATTATCCCAACAAGGAATTATCAACAAAAGCTTTCGGCTCATCATGGCAAACCTTTCTATCCCTTATCGTCAAATTCGAGCCCATTATAACGACACAACAATAACAGTTTACCAAGCCTACAAGGAATCTATCGCCAAAGCTGCAGTGGAAAACCAAAAGCTTAATGCCTCTCCAGACTTCAAACCAGGTCGTATGACTTGGATAAAGCCCAGCTGGGCCTGGATGATGTACCGCTCAGGCTACTCCTTCAAAGACCCTGGGCAATCACGCATTCTCGCCCTCCGCATGAAGCACCGAGATTTCATCCATCTTCTTGAAAGAGGCGTATTGTCAAGTCACGTTCAAAAGCCCGATCCTGGCGAAAAACGCGAAAAATCGAATGATGTGAGAATTCAGTGGGATCCTGAAAGGACGTCAAAGCTGGAAGTGTTGCCGTACAGAAGTATTCAGATCGGTATCCCGGGAGCTCTGAGTGAACAGTGGGCGAATGAGTGGATTGCAGGTATCGAGGACGTCACGGATAAAGCACGTGAATTGAAGAGAGTCATTTATGAACGGCCTGATATCACTGATGAAGAGCTCCTTGTGCTGGGGTTGGTATTCGAGGAGAAGCCTTACGATGTACCAGAGTCGGTGTATGCAAAGCTTGAGATGACCTCAGTTACCGCATCATAGTGTTTAGTTTATTCAATTATGCTTCTGGTCATTGAAACCAGGAGTTGGTTTTTCTCTTGCCCTCAATCTCCAAAGTCAGACTATAGAACAAGCTCGAATATCTACTTTCGATCCCTATTGTGGCTCTTATCACATCTGATACTCTCCACTCCATCCTCCTCTGTGGCTTATCCAACGCCCTCGTAAAATCTTGTCTCGCAATCCAGCTCTGTTCTTCGAATGCGTACCACGGCAAGAAGTAAAGAGGTGTTGTTTGGAAAGGATTCGGTAACAAAGGCTCCAGTCCCATCACCAAGCATTGCTTGGAGTCGGCGCTACCCAAGTCGAACTCCAACACTCCAAGGACGATGGGTTCTTGCAATGAACCAAGCGAAGGCCCAGGTGCGAGGTCAAAATTGATCTCGTAGGACTCTGCAGTCTGGGAAGAGCCTTTACGGGTATCGACGAAGTACTGCCATGTTGGCGACCGAGAGCGTACTCTAATCACCATTTTGCTCTCGTCCTTTAGACCCTTAATTTCCGGGCGAAATATTACTCCTTTCAGGTACCTCAGATCAGGGGTATTATGCGGTACAAAGATCTGCCGTGGAATCGCCTCTTTCAATATGAGGGTTTGGCCACCTCGCATCATATTCAGAAGCTCGTCGGGAAGAATTATGCTGTTCATCATGGATAGCGCAAGTATATCTGGCCGAATACGCACAAAGTGAGAGTCTTTATCCCATGCTGCCCGTTGAAGCAAAATGACTGGGTTGATGGAGGTTTGGCCTTGACGAAATTCACAGTTCAAGAAGGCCAGAAAGATACTCCCCGACTTGTCAATGGGGAAGGGTGTTAAGGATAGCTCAAGCTCCAGTCCACGATTGGTCATTGATGTAGATACCCCCGAGCGAAGGGATAGATATTTGGACTTCTTAGGTATCAGTCCATTCAGATCCTTTGCCACATGGTCAATGTCGAAAGCCGAAGGACTATTCGCAAGGAGACTCCAATACGTCTTTCCCTCGACTCGATATCGAGGCTGTCGCCACGCATAGATGGACTCATCATCGGTCGACTTGATGATCTCTTCCTGCAACCTCTTGAATGCTTTGATTTGACCTTCTCCATACAGTAGAGGCATATTGATGTCGAATATACCAAGTAAGCAGTAAGCGATGTCCTCAGGCCGTGTCGTTTCTCTTCCCGAAGCCCAGTACATTTTCTCGGCAACAGAGTATTGCCACAACTGTCTTTGCTTGCTCTCCATCATATGATGCGTCGAATTCAATAGTTCCTCACTGATTCCAGTAACAAGTTTTATGTCGTCTTTGAGCTCCGATCTGTTTCCCAGCGGCTTCCAGTCCTGTCCGTAAAAAATTACCTTTCCGGGTGCGATCAGCTCCTGAAGAGTCCAACCTCTTGTGAACCAGCGACTTCCCCTGAATGCTTTCTTTTTCTCTTCCTCGGACCCTGATGGCGGAACGTCTTGGATGAAAGCGATGCAAATTGTTGACTCAGCATACCAACGAAACATGGAGTTGATAGCTTCAGAGAGTTCAGCACTGCTGCTCTTATCGATGCAGCATGTGTCTATCCACAAGTAATCCAGTTTGAGTGATCGTGCCAGCTTACAACTCTCACGCAACTTGCTGTATCGGTCGAGCTCCAGCGCTTCAGCAGGATCAACTGAAGTCATGTCTTGAAACGTGACTTCGCCATCGCCCCAAACATGCGACAAGATGGCATATCGACGAGATCCTCCGTGATAGAACTCAAGTTGGAGTGTTTGTGTGTTTATGAGCCTCATTATGAGTGAGAGTGTAAGATTGAGAAGACACTGTCTGGATTTTGGCGAGGTCGGGGGTGAGGGGCTTAACTTAGGGCGAAACTAGGAGAGTGGCCGTCAATTAGAAGATACAACTAGATAGAATGGAACTGATATTGCCATTATGTATACCATCGAAGCATTATTCAAGTAGTAAACATGTTCGTAAGCTAAGGAAGATGAGCTTAAGTTCATTCCAAACTGAGGATGTTAGACATAGTGTCAATAGATGACATAAGGGCACTGTGCAGTTCAAGCACATTGACTTCAAATGCCAATAACAGGCCAGATAATTTAGACAGAATAATTTTAATCTCTTCATTAATATATAATACTAATCTCGTAACTCAGTCGTTACAGCTTTAATTACAACACTTTAACCGTTGACAATGGTACCACCGTTGCAGTGAATGGTCTGTCCACTAACACACGAACTGTCGCTCGACGCCAGGAAGACTATGCAGGTAGCGATCTCCGAAGGCTGGGCAGGTCGTCCCATAGGAGCTGTAAAGTTCTTTTGTGCTTCGTCGTCCATGGTGGCGGGAATAAGAGGAGTCCAGACTGTGTTCTGTTAGTGTCATGACTTTAAGATTGATCAGATATGCTGTGGAACGTACCAGGTCCAGGAGCAACAGCGTTGACGCGGATGCCCTTGCTCACATATTGGTTGCTGAGACCTCGTGTAAAGGACACAATCGCTCCCTTGGTGGAGGTGTAGTCGAGAAGGTCGGGACGGCCGATATAGGCGTTGATAGAGGCGTTGTTGATGATGGTGGCACCCTCCTTCATATGCGGTAGGGCGTATTTGGAAACGTAGAAGAAGGAGTGGATATTGATGTTGAAAGTGTGAACCCATTGTTCCTCAGGAAGATCCTTGATGTCCTTGACAACCATTTGATCTGGATCTAAGTTAGTTCTAACGCTATTAATAGTCATATTGGAATTAACTTACAAGCAGCGTTATTAAAGAGAATATCAATTCCGTTCATCTTCTCAACGGCAAAGTCGACCAGTTTTCTGCAGTTCTCCTGCTTGGAGAGATCGAGAGAGATAAGGTGAACCTTGGCACCCTCGGCCTCAACCTGCTTCTTGGTATCCTGAGCGTCCTTCTCCTCCTCTGGCAGGTAGGCAATGACGATATCCGAAACACCCTCTCGACCAAAAAGCAGAGCTGAAGCAGCACCGATACCACTGTCACCTCCAGTGATCAAAGCCCTCTTGCCCTTGAGCTTGCCGGAGCCTTGGTAGGTTCGCGAGTTACCACCAGCTTCGGGGAGCTCGTCTCGGGTAGCCTGGGGGTTAGGCATATCCCTCTCCGTACCAGGGAAATCCTGGTGTGAGACAGGAATGTCCTTCTCTAATTTTCAGTTAGTTTTTACACCAGTGGTTTTGAGTGAGATATCATGAGTAGGAAGTTTTACCGTTCTTGAAGTTTTGAGTCGTCATTTTGAGTGATGTAATAATAGAATACAGCAAACCAAACTTTGAAGGTGAAAAAAGGACTTCTTCAGAAAGTCTACGATGGCAGCATCCTCTGTTTAATACCTGCCCGCGCACGAAGACGCGGAGCTTTCAATCCGAATCCTGATGAAGATCGATCGATGACGACACTACAGTCAGGGTATTGTAGATACTTCTTCGTCACATTAACGGGGCCAGCCAAGCAAAAGACGAATGTGCTGAAATTTTCTTCATTTTATCTAGTTATATCTTCGCATCATGATACGAGAGCTTATAGCTTGCCCCTCCGAACATCATCATGACCGGAACCATGAGCCATGACGGTTGATGCTCGCCCAGGCTTTAGTAAATTTCACTTTATCCACGCGAAAATGACGATACTGACCGTTAAAGAGAGGGGCATGCATATGTACAATGATAATATATGTATATTCTGAGCTTATATTCTATTAGGCGATTGTGACGTATAAAGTTGCAAATAGAACCGTCAAAACGGCCACCGATAGCTTCTATTCCGTTCGGCACCATCCGGAGCGGCCCCACCTTGCCGGCCCATATCATGATGTCCGGCTAATATTACCAACATTGAGGATGGATCCAAGCTGTGATACCTTACTAAAGGGCCGTAACCGGTTCTGTACTTGGGTAAAGCTCAACTGCAGCCTGACTACCTATGTTAGAAGTATCGTGCCCTGGACAATAACTACCCCAATGACTTTAAAACAACCAACCCAAACACATCCACTGTCAGTTCGGCTGTGCTCAAGTGGAATAACAAGATTACGTATGTCGCGTAGTACAGCCGAAGAATCAATTTTCATAATGCAAATTGCATGAGCCGTCTAAACAATCAAATATTCCATACATCGCGTATCTTCAGCCAAGTGCACGCGTCTCGGTTGTCGCCATGCTGTGCCCGCTTGCTTGCCCTACACATGGGCACCAGCCATGCCCGTCTTTCAAATGCAGTGCCATCCCAAGTTCAAATCGATAATTATACCCAGAACGCCTGGTTCCGTGTCATGTCGTGCTCTACTCGCAGCTCGGATAAAAGTCAAGTAAGTGTTGTTACAGGGCGATCGCGCCTCGGCGGCTTTCTCGGGCGTGGAGGAGTCCTTGGAGACCGCAAAAGACGAAGAAAGCCTATAGATACGAGTCAGATGCGAGTTCTCATTTAGATATAGGGATGCAATCACGTACAGCGTAGACTAGGACGGCCGTGAAGATGGTGTTGGAAACAGGCTTGCCATCCTTAGGATCATTGACACCGCCGGTAAACTCTTCGTGGCCAGCTCGGTACAGACCAGCGAGAACGCTAAGGATGACCATGGCGAAGACGGAGAGAACAGTGCTGGAAGCTTTATGTTAGCCTTGCCATGATGGAATAAAGTAAGTTGGACGGGATGACGAACCATCCCCACGCGTTGAAGGCGCTGACAACGGGCTTCATGATGGGCAATTGGAGAAAAAGCTCGGTAATTGGTATGCGATCGGTATTTCGTTACAAGGATTGAAGCGATGAATCGTTGGTTGTGATTTTGATGGCGATGGCTTTCGAGCTGGTGATGCGTTAATGTGTCGCTGTTGAGCTCCTTTCCTGCCTCACTGGTAAGGCTGGGAGCGCCACACTGTGCACAGCCACTTCACCATGTGCCACAATACCAATCCTCCACACTGAGCCGTCCTTGTAAGCGGGAATATTTGGATCTCTATCTGGTCTAAAATGTAACATGGATTCAATCCATGTATTATAAGCTACAGGTTTCCATGCTTATTTCCTATTGCTTTTTATAATTCAACTGTAATACAAGAGTTTTCAGGTGGAAACTCCACTCACTGATCCTTGGGTGCTTATTAGACAGATGGCTTGCTGGGCTTGGTATGCGAAACTACCAGGTTTGATTCCAGACGGATTCCTTAGACCCAGTGCGGTGCAACCAACAGATCAAGGCATTATCTTGGCTGACAGGAGGTAATCGCAATTTCAATGTGCAGTTTGTATATTCTGAAACTCATAGGATATCAAAGGGATGGGATAGATCAACATAAAGTAGGGTATTAGGTCTTTCAAGTCTGCACGTGTACACACATCTGCTTGAGAGCACACTGTACTTTGACCTGAGCAGTCACCAAATAGGGTGTTGAAGCTAAATCGTAACGAAGGTTTACGAGTTCGTGATTGAGCACGCTATTGAATGTTGCAGTGTTGGTGTTGATTAAACAGGTTAGTCCTGTCTTCCACAGTAGGAGGGTATTGGTGGCGTAAGCGACCTTGGCATTTTAGGTCTGGTAGCTTCACCTCCAATAGCTTCAGGTACGCTCAGCTACACGAAACGAAACAAAACGAGACGAAACGCCAGGGTCAGATGATGTTTATATGATCGCCTACATATCTTGGCTGTGTCCTGTTTGAGATTAAGCTTACAGTGACGATTCAATTCAATCTTATCCTACAAAACTGAATGAATAAAAAGCCAAGACTGGGGATTGACCAGTGACTCTGAGATGTGTCTCGATGCGGCAATACCAAGGTTCGGAGGTTGACGAGGGTGGACTGGAGATCCGCGATGCCATCATTACACATGTAGCTTTTGATTGTGTTGCAACACAACACCATGACCATCACCGATTGTAGCGATCAATAACTGATTTAAATGTTATTCAGGTCCATGGGTATCTGTGCAAGGTTACGCAACCCTCCATTCCTCCCTCTTGTCAGCGACGCACCACCTTTAGCAAACACGGGGTTCGGAAGAGTGAATATGATCTTATAGTATGGCATGGCCATGGTCTATTGAAACAAGCAAAAAGTAAAACAAAGCACAGCGAAACAGACCAGACCAGACCAAACCAGAGTACAGCAGAGCGATGCAAAGCTAAGCCACGTTGACAGTGAATACGGGCTCTCGCGGAACCATGAGCCGTGAGCACCAATCGTTGGGCTGACATGCCTTCCAGAAGAGACTATTGCATGCTGCAGGGCCCTAAAAGAATGGATCGTCCTCCCCGTGTTTGTAGTTGAACAATCCAGTCTATTCGTTGGGAAAGGTCAAAATCAAGAGCTTCTTGCTGGCTTTTGCGCTGCCAGTGATGGACCGCCAGACCATCGACCATATAGAAACAGGGACTTTGGTATTGCCCTCAATTTAGGCGCGGCATTTAGCATCTCATTTGCCGTAACATCCATGCCCTGTCAGGCTTGGTCTTTGTTCTTGGTTGTTGAATAATCGCCGTGCAAAATGATCCTAGTCAACGCCGCCAAACCAGTGATGACGCTTCAGGCTTGGCGATTGGAAGCTTCAGCGCCTCCCGCTATATATAGAGCCCACGCCTCTCAGCCTTCCTCCCTCCTGTCCTGCTTTGTTGCTGTCACTGTTACTGCAGCCTTCACCTCGGTCTACCTAAAATTACTGATTCACTCTTGAGCCAGTCTCAGCACCTCAATTAATTTGTCAGACCCTAGTGGTTCGGTCGTTCTTTAATACTGCAACTACCTTTAGTTGCACCACCTGCTCGCTCACAGCTTACAATACATACATACCTACTCTTTTTTTTATCGCCAACTCACTCAAAATGCGCCCTCAAGCTCTCGCAGCCGTTCTTCTCTCGGCCTGTGCCGGTCAGTCTGCTGCCCAGGATGCTCCTCGAGTCAACGACAACCCTCCTGGTGTTGGATACAAGGCCACTCTCCCGAAGGAGCCCTTCTTCAAGGATGCCGCCATCGATGGAAATGTCAAGGGCTACATCCACGCCCAAGCTACCGATTCTGGTCAGGGTGTGAAGTTTATGGTCAAGTTCAGCAACCTCCCTAAGGAAGGTGGACCTTTCAGTAAGTCAAGCCGCCGTGTTTCAATATAGTATACACATACTGACCTTGATCCAGCCTACCACATTCACGTTGATCCTGTTCCTAACAACGGCAACTGCACTGCGACTCTTGCTCACCTTGACCCTTTTGCGCGCGGCGAGGAGCCTCCCTGTGATGCCGAGAAGCCTGAATCTTGCCAGGTCGGAGACAACAGCGGCAAGCATGGAAAGATCACGAGCGACCCTTTCGAGACCGAGTATATAGACTACTACGCTTCCACCAAGGACGGTATTGGCGCCTTCTTTGGCAACCGCTCTTTTGTCCTTCACTATGCCAACAAGACTCGCATTACATGCGCCAACTTTGTCTCTCAGATCAAGCCTCCTGCCACCAACGAGTCTTACTCTGCCCCGGGTTATCTGCCTACTCCCACCGAGACTGTCCCTTTGACGCCCACGAACACGCCCAATCCCAGCACTGAAGCACCAGTCGCTACTGCGACCGACGCCGTTGGCCCCAACGCTGGCTCTGCTATGGCTGTGCCGCTCAACCTGGCTCTGGCCGGTGTCTTTGTGCTCGCTTTCGCTCTGTAATTGAAGCCAGCGGTGAAAATGGGTCTGTGACCAAGGCGTGATGTTTTTCGATTCGTTTACTGTACATTTATTTGTTCATATCTCTAGTACTGGGGCACATTACTTTTCATCTTCTGACCTGACAATGCCTACTAGTACTAGCTGCAGGGGTGTTTTAGGGCCGCGGACAGACAAAGAAAATAAAATGAATACTTTCCCATATACGATGGATATCAAGGATGTGCTGTAGCGTTTTGTCAATAAGTGAATATGCAAGTCGTCTGTTAGGACCAACGGTTTGAGGCTTGGAGCGTTGAAATTGCCAGGCACAGCGAATGAGCAGGCCAAAGTGTAAACAAAGACGATGGTAAAACTTATAGGATGCTTACAATAGATTATAGTTATAATGCTCATGGATGCCAACTTAAGCATGATCTGCAGTTGACAGGATCCATAGTTTATTACCAATGTCACTTATTATTTAACTTTCTGTCATCTGATAACTCAAGTTCCCTCGCCAGTTAGATTGGCTAATTCAGAGTGCCTGCAAGGCTATTGATGATCAACAAACAATTTATAATTCAATAATGATACCCCACAGAGGGTGCAAGGATTGCCGAGTTTTGGTTGCAAGAGCCTGGCCTCGGGGTATCAGAAAAATTGACCGCTGGAAGCATGAGAGACGAAATTAGTAGGTCATTTTATGCCTCTTTGAGTATAGTTCTTAGACGACTTATTTTTATACCCTAAACTTAGGAGGCCATTTTTTCTGCTACCCACCAGCCTGGCCAATTTTTAGTACATACATTATACATACATTATACCTAGTGTTGTATATTTAGAAGCTAGAAATGATCGTTTCTAGTTTATCGGAGCTCAAGGTTCCGCATGTTGTGCTCACTTAATCTCAACATACCTATGATATGATCTTACAAACGTCTGGATATGTCTATTACACCCCAATACTCTCTGCTTCTTTTAATATGAATGCCACCCAACTGCTGCCCCTTTTTTAGACATGGCCCCCAATGAAATCATCATTACAGCACTGCTTACATCCTGTCTCCAAAACCTCCTCGAATCGACAGTCTGAGGCCCGGGCCTAGCGCAATGCAGCAATCACTAGGGCTGACAGTCAAAGGATTTTACTAACTTTTAGTTCGAGTCTATGTCTCAGCTGGGAGGAACTCGACCCTGGCATTTCTTGTTCTCAGCCGCCTTTTGTACAGAATCTGCACAATCCCCGATGCAGCTTGTAGCATCGCCTCACTCCGAGGATCGACGATTGGCTGCATCTCCTCAGAGTTCGTCCGTACGGAATCGGTCATGGATTCCAGATGAAGGAAAGTAAAAATCCAGTAGTTTCCTTGAAATGTGTGTGGCGCTTAAGTCATAGTCAAGTTGAGCTGAAGAATTGATCTGACAGAGAGGCTGTCATATGACAACTCCGGTTGGATATTCGGTTCAAGACATGCCGATTGTCGTCCGTCCCAAAAAGGATGTGAGAAGTCAATTTCCTGATTCCAGTCAGAAGCACCTCAACAATCCATATTTGTCATCTGTCGCTCATTCTCAATTACCTCCAGAGGATTGTTTGTATCTCAACGTTGTCTCAGCTCCACCAGTATCAGAGACGTGTCCATCATTAGCCTCCTAGACGCTATTGCTACTCAACTCACAATCACATGGCTTTCTTCTCAACAATGGTATGTCATATTTTCAATCTTTATCGGAGGTTGTATCCTTATAGGTCAACTACCTCTTCGTTCTTCAATAGCCAGCTCTTGCCATTCCCTACCCGTAACTCGATTATCTCTTAGGTTACTATCCTTTTCTTCACTAATAGCGAGTTTAGACAAACGTAGACACTACTATAGAAACTCTTTCAGGGTTACGTACAGCTCGAAAGGTTATGGAGTATAACTCGTTAGTTGAAGACTTTCGAGATGACGAATATCCGAATATGGCTCAAGGTGTGTCAAGTCTCACCCAACCTCGTCCTTCGGTTCTACTAATGCCGGTATTACAGGGGCTTATCTTGATCACGGAGGAACCACCATATATGCGAGGTCTCTTATAACCGGCTTTTCACAGGCTATGATAGGTAACCTTTGGGGCAACCCGCACTCTGAAAACCTCCCTGCGAAATTGTCCGGCGAGATGGTGGACAGCATCCGTGCAAAGACACTCGATTTCCTAGGTGCTGACCCAGAGCACTTCGATCTCGTCTTTGTTGCCAACGCTACGGCAGCTATAAAGCTTGTTGCTGACGCATTTCGCGACCTGGGGGAAAAGACGCCAACAAAAGGCTTCTGGTACGGATGCCATAGAGAAGCGCACACGAGTCTCATTGGAATCCGGGCACTCGCAGCAGGAGACTATCATTGCTTTGACGATGACGAGAGCGTCGATGAATGGATCTCTCAACCGTTCAGCTGCCAGACCCAAAAAGGAAAACCACCAAGTCTGGGCTTATTCGCATATCCGGGTCAGTCAAATCTTAGTGGACGACGCTTACCCAAGACTTGGCCGAGAAGGATTCGTAAACACCCTCAACTTCGAAATACCTATACCCTTTTTGACGCAGCGGCTTTGGCCATGACGAGCTCTTTGAATTCTTTATTCGAAGACCCCTTAGGTGCGCCGGATTTCACTTGTCTCTCGCTTTACAAGATTTTTGGTTTCCCTGACTTGGGAGCTCTGGTTGTGAGACGAGCCTCTGGACATGTATTGTGTCTACGAAGGTATTTTGGTGGGGGGACAGTGGCTCAGTTGTCGCCATTAAAGGACACTCGTGTTATGAAGAAGGTGCCCGGCCTGGGGAACAAGTATATGTCGTGGGGTATTCACGAAGGGCTTGAAGATGGCACATTGCCGTTTCACAGTATATTAGCACTTGGTATCGCGATTGATACGCATCTCAGACTGTATGGCTCCATGGTAAGTCAAGGCATTATTTGTAAACGAGCTAAGCTGAGACCCACAGGATATCATATCTCGTCACTGTTGCTACCTCGCTCGCTCGTTATACGAACAACTAGCAGATCTTAAACATCGTAACGGGTTACCAGTAATCGAACTATACGCCGATGACTCTGTCAGGTATGGCGATCCTTCAGCACAAGGGCCGACTTTTGCCTTCAATATCATGAGGGAGGACAGTTCATACGTGCCTTGGACTGAGGTAGAAAGACTTGCCAACAAAGCTGGAGTATACATCCGAGCAGGGGGTGAGTATATTGTGTCGGTCTTGGTCACAAATACTGACTAGATATTTAGGCGTTTGTTGTCCTGGCGGAGTGGCCCAAGCCTTGAAATATGAAGAATGGGAATGGGATCGCATCTTCTCAAGTGGCCATGCCTGTGGTTCAACAGAGATGGCCGTCGTACACAACAAACCAACTGGGTATGTTCGTCCAGGTCTAACAGTGTATTGACAATTACTGACGAAGATAGTATCGTTCGTGCAAGTTTGGGCGCTATGACTACCAAGCGCGATATAGAGGCTTTCGTCTCGTTCCTACAAAACGAGTTCGTCTTTAAAAGCACAGCCATGCCGCTGTTGATGGGATCATCGAATGAGTTACCTTTTAGAGAGCCATTTCTCTATTCGATGCGCAATGTATCTGATATGGAGCATATAATGAGCTAGAGGGAGTAGCTATTGATGGGGTATCGGTTTTTCAACTAGATGGAATAATGGTACCAGTCTGGAATATTGTGAAAATATTTAGACTGAGTTATACTTGTGTCTTGTAGTCTGTACAAATCGGGAACGAATGAGAGATCTTGCATATGCTTGGTCATGACTTATACATGGATCACAATGTCAATATCCATGTCAAATGTCACTTTGCCGTGCAAGTAATAATGAGTCGCTGTTAAGTCATTCATTCTCTTCGTGTAACAACTGGTGGTGAATTTCACTGAGCATGCTTGTCTTCAAGAATTGAATACAAGTTGAAAACACAAGTTGAGTTTGGTTGCCGCTAGTTACATCTCTCATGTCAACATCGTACCTTCACGTGATTTCATCATAGCAGCTTCACAGAAAGAAAGAAGGCGGCAATTCACAAACCCAAGCAAACACAAATTCATTACAATATCGTCTTGTTTGTTTATTTCTAGTCGCATTACTCACAGTATTCTATATCGTTTGTACCATAAACAAACGCCACCAGTGTCTTGGTTTTTTTCTTCTCTTTTTTTTTCTCTTCGCCATCTCATCTCGTCCCTCATGAAATCATCGCGATCAGATTCTCTACCTATATCCCACGTCGCCAATTCCAGCCCACACCCTTGATCCTTTCTACGCATGCGATTTACCCGCTACGATTGTATGTCGCATGCAAATGAACTATTCTTTATTATAGCACCTATGCTGCCACTTCAATCGTGAAAATGGCAAAGAAAAAGAACAAGCAAGCTGCTGCTGCTCCTGGTAGTGAGGGGCAGAATCCGACCCTCGACGAAGCTTCGCAAACGCAAACACAACCTTCCACCACTGCGACCACAAATTCAAGTACAAATGGAGGTCAAAAGAAGAAGCCAAAAGCTTCCAGGGAATTGCCCTCCGTAGCTTCTTCGCAGACACTTAACATTTGCCGGAACAAGTAGGTCCTAATCTTTGCGCTACCGGATCTGCTCAATAAGTTACCCATTTGCGGTTTGTTGGGTGCACGACAGACATATTGACGATCAACCTCACCTAGGCATTGGCGGTACATATCCTCCTACCATGGACCTTGGCTACAGATGCCCATCGAGATCCTCGAAACAATTGCAAACATCAACTACAACACCCCACGACCTCGTCCTATCGACCCGGCCGTCCTGTTCGACCTGCTCAAGATCCGCCGTCTCGTTGACGAAGCCACAAACCTCGCCGTGAGAGCTGCTAGTGACATTGCCTCACCCGTTTTGACCAACGTGCATGGCGGTTTGCCTGGTTCATCGCCCATGTCGATGCTGGGCATGATAGGTCCAGGCCATGGGATGAAATTGAGCCAGAAGCGCAAGTCGCAGATGAGAGAGCAGGCGAGCCAGAAGCTTAGTCGTGCGTACCATCTAGACGAAATAGCTTGCAGTGTTGCGACAATGCAGGGCGCATCAACAATAGAGGAAATCGGTGCCGTTGTCTTGCAGCGTAACCCACAGGATCTCGATGCTAAATATGTGCATTTCTTCCACGAGAAGATCCCCTCCCGCCAAATGGCCGAGTCTACCAGCTTAGAGTCATTGACAGAGATCATATCTGAGAAGCCCAACGAGAGCGAGGCTCTGCGCACTCGCGCCATCGTCAGGACCTTCAAGGAAGATTACGAGGGCGCTGCTTATGACCTCACAGCCGCCCTTGCTGTGTGTCGAATACATCAGCAGCCCCATCGGCCAAATGAGGAAGCCAATTCGAAGCTTTCGCATACGGGTAAACGTTGGCGGCAGGAGGCTATTCCAGCAGAAAAAGATCAGCCGACTAGCTTAGAAATCCAGCTGTGCTTCCTACGTGCCTCAGCGTACCTATCGTGCGCCTGCCAACACATTGAAGACGGCCTCTCTCTAGCTCAGAAGCAGAATGGTCATGCAGATACAGACCAGTCAAACGGCAAATCCAGTGCAGAAGCCAACGGCCAAGATTCACAGGAGCGGGACGAAAACTCTCTTCGTAGACAGGCCGAGGCGCGAAAGCTTGTCAAGAAATACGCAAAGTGGGCGCTCAGAGACTTGCTCGCCTTTCTGTCGCACTTCGAGTACGCACCCAACCTGCCAAACCTAATCGTCAAGGATTTCAATGACCGCGTGAATCTATCTGCACAAGGTGCACGCAATCCTCGACCATCTGAAGCAACATACCTTCTCGAGCCACACACCACGTACACTCTCGCCGAGCTCTTCGCCGCTATCCCTCCCTCGGACCTGCCCCCTTATCCTAATGAAGATGTCACAGCCCCTGACAAACAAACTCAGTCGTCAGATAGCCCGAAAGTATGCGAAGGGTCGAGTTATCACCCTCTTATGACTGATGCTCTCCACTCACTTCTCCTTTGTCACTGTCTCATCCAGACCTCAGCCAAAGAGCTCCAGCGCCACACTTATATGGCGGCACGACTGATACGCCTAGCTGATGGATACCCAATCTTCCAGGCGTGTCGCTCTCCAGCCCGGTCTGACTGGTTAGAAGTCCTCCGCCGCGCTGACGACAGCTGGCTCCAGCTTAGTGCATCATGGGACACTCTCTGTACGCCCGCACCACTTCCTTTCCACTACGATCCCCTGCAACACAGTGCCACAAGTGCGAACACGGGCGCCTCTCGTAAAGAGGCTGCAGCAGCCGCCGCATCTCTGATTAATGGCGGCTCAAGCACGGAGAAACCTGAGCCGAGCCCTGAGGAACTGCGCCGACATCGCCTGCGCGAGCGCGACCAGCGGGTTCGTGTTGCTCTCAGTGACCAGAGAGTTTGCGATGAGGATACGTTCCGCGCATCTATTGAGGCTCAGGAGAAGCGTGCAGAGCAGGAAGACCGTGCTGCCGCTGTCGCCACGCCTAATGGTGCATCCAATGCCGACGGACGTCCGAAGCGATGGGTTGTTGACGACAGCGAATTCTACCCCGTTTGTACCGCGAGGGCCACCATGATTGCTCAGTGGGTTTGCGAAGCACCCGTGGTCGCAAGCACCACAAGGCGCAAGAAGAGGACCAAGCGGCCCGAAGGCAAGACAGACACATTGGCTGACTCTGCGAAGAAGATGAGTCTTAAAGACACAGCAGCGACATTATCGTAACTGGACTATCTCTCCGTGATCTAGCTTTGCTTTTGTAGCAATTGATTGACAACGTAATTGATTGATTGGCCAGGTTCCCAGAGCCTCTGGTTATTAAGAGCATGGATTGTATTCCTACAATAAGTTTAGAAACTTATCCCATAAGCATAATAGCAGGGCATATTATGGCTAGGAGGATTATATGAATAGTATAGATCACGATTGAGCAAAAACTGATTCTATAACCCACTGTTCTCAAAGACGAAATCTAATGCTACTGATACCCTTGAGAAACTCCTTCCATGCTTGCCTGTCTCATGATACTATCTAATCACTGGCGCCATCGTATCCCAAGTCCCAAGTTCTTCAGTACCATCTGTTAGTCGGTACCGTACCTCCATTTAAGAAAGCATCAATGTCGCCCATGCCCTCCGTCTCCAACACATTCATAAGTTCGAGTTGCTGAGATTGCGTGAGGCTGCCGTGGCGAGCAAAGCCGTAGTCGAATTGAGGAGCCGGAGCATTTCCACCATTAACATTCTGCAATCCGAGACCAGAGTTTGACATATCGCCGTAGTTCCCAGGGCTGGCCAAAGAATCGTTGAAGAAACTGTTGCTCATATTGCTGAACGTATATGGGTTGATGAAAGGCGCAGGAGGCGAGAACCAATTGGCGGTATTGCTTAGTGTAGGCAGAGGCCGTTGTTGAGGAATCGACTGAGGGTTTTGTGGCACAGCAAACATAGGAGCTTGTTGAGATGGCTCGATCTTGATTGGTGGTGACATGCTGTTATGCACAGGCACCATGGGAACCCCAATTGGTGACGCACTTTGCATGATGGGTGTCGGATGGGCCGTTATGGTGTTTTGAGGCGACAACGTATTGCTAGGTGTTGGTGTCGCCATATTGCCAGTGGGGACGGAATCTGGAGGCGTCGGAAGTTGCTCGGAAAGATGATCTGGAGGCGAAGTCATATGCTGCTCTGGGGTTGTGGTGGCTGGCGGCGTTGGGTCGTCCATCATAGTTTCGCCAGGTTGCATAAAGTCTGGAGGGAAATACGAGAATCTCCGACCTGTGGGCTCATTGCTAGCAGGGTTGAAAAATATGGAGTTGGACCTGAAGCTAGGCTGAGGAGGAGGAAAGTTGGGGTCAAAGGCGTATGCATTCATGGCCTCCGGCGTTGAGTTGAAGATCTGGTTGAACTGGGGTGCGTTCTGAAAAGGAGCTTGCTGAGCATTGTTTTGGAAAGCTTCTGGGGAGTTGGGGTCTGTAAAAGACGGGGGCGTATTGAAGAAGTTCGTTGTCTGCCCAGTCATAGGTCGTTCATCGTAGCCCTGTAGACACGCTTTGGAGAAGATGGAGTAAAGCTGTGAGGCTGACGCAGATCCTGGCCATCTTTCTGCACAGCGTTCCAAAACATCCAAGGAAGTATTGATGAGGCTCTCGACCTCACTTCTACTATGGTTTTGTCGTACCTCGGGATATGAGACGGCCCATAGGAGCGTGTTGAGAGACATGTTCACCGTCAAGAGAAAAACCCATGTAATATCCGCACCACTATCCATCTGTTTGGAATTCAATTGCATGATGTATGCTGAGCTGTCGAAACAAATCGCAGCGGCGCGAGGTGATGGCTTTGGCACTTGGGGAGAGGGCCTGTACATGAATATCCTCATTTGGTGATATCGGCCAGTGAACCTGTTGCATGTTAGTGGTGGATAAGATGGCATGAATAGGGGTCATACCAAGGCTTACACCAGTCAGGCTTTGTAGGTGATGCATCCAGCCATTCCTTGTTCATACTCTCGACTCTTGCATACCATGGATGGCTGTCGTCCTTTGGCTCATCCTTCTTCTTCTCATACAGAACCCTTCGAATTTCTGCTTGGTACATTCTCATCTTGTAAAAGTGAATGGCAACAAGTTTTCGTTCGTTAGGCGGGCCAGGCTGGATGCCCTGGTCCGTAATATTCTCGTCATCGACAGTTTCGAAGAATTCGACATCTAATCGGTCGTCCCCTGTCGCAAAGTTGTTGGGCCTTCCCATGCTGTGCGCTAAGCCATATTCCATGGCGGCTACAGTCCAGATAATTCGTCGTCGCATATCGATTGTTTTGGGATCCGAGTTGTAACCACTTGATATGGTCTTCTCACTAGCCAGTCCTTCCTGTTGACATATCCTGGCCGCCAGGCCGATTACGTAGTAAGTTGGCATCCTCGTAGGGGTGAGAAGCGAGTATTGTCCGAGGAGTACAAGGCATTGTAGCGTCTTGAGGTCTTTCTGGCGAACGACGTCTTCCAATAATTTCATCGCCGCCAAATAATAACTGTCTGCTAAACCAGCATATTGCGTGTCTAACTTTTGTAAGCTAATGGCCACAAGCATTCTCACGACAAAGAGTCGGTATGGGTCGTTGTCGCCATTGTAGACCGCGTCAAGATCCTGTAACAGGTCTTTTTCATGCAAAACAGGCCAGAAGAGTTGAGCTGTGATCTATTAGCATCAAAAGGCAATTTCTCATTCAGCTCCCATTAACCCACCTTTTTGATTGAAGATTTCCAATAACTTGTCTGCTACAGCTCTTGTTGGCAGGCTTTCGGCTGGGTGCTGGCTGACCATTGGGTAGCTTTTTCGCCTAGCCGCAGGCCCAGTTACCTGGATGGACTGCATGCGAGCTTGCCTGGTACGAACGCTGGGAATAAGATCGGAGATGCGCTTTGAATCTGTGTATCGCTTCGCTTGCTCCATGACAAGACGAGTCATGGCAATCCCGCTACTGGGCCCCAGATATCGATGGGTTTCGTCACCGCCATTGAGGCGGACCAGCCCACCGGGCCGTACCATATCCTCGTTGCTTTTAGGATAGTCGTTCTCATCATCCGTGAATTGACTGAGCTCCGCTTCGAGCTGCCTAACTTTGTCTTGCAACTTGATAACATACTGCCGGTTGATCTTGCGACCTTTGGCTGCATCTAGATATTCGCATGTAGACCCTGATCTTTCACATGGCAGACAACGGGGCAAGGTAGGATCGCATCGTGTTTTTCTCTGCGCAAAAGTTTGTTAGCATAGAACTCAAATATTCAAGCCGGCGCACGTGGGTGTGTAGGTACCTGTCGACAACGGCAGCAGGCCGTTAAAGTGTGGGCAATGCGGTGGCCCGAACCATCCCCATCAGAAGTTTCGTCGGCCTGCTGCATCGGTTTTCTAAACGTCTGCTGTTGCTGTTGCATTTGCGGTTGGTATTGAGCCATGTGATGCTGAGGATGGCCTATGAAAACAGGATTTTGGCGTGGTGCGACATGGCTGAAGCCTTGTCGAAAGATGTCTGCCGGATCCATTGGGCACGTTGGCGGAATCGCCTACAAGACGGTTTGATTTTGATTACGCGCAAGCATCCGATGTCCGATGTTGTCAAGGTCGCGAAGCCGGTACGCCGAGGGGGAGGCACTGTTACAAACACAGGGAACGGGAACGGGAGCAGGGCACAAGGACAGGCCGATCGTGGGAGAAAGTGAAACGAAGCGATGACGATGGACTCAAATAACAGATCTGGGTGATTTGTCGAAACCGAGGGATAGGACGATACGGATCCGCTGGCCAAATGATAACCACAGCCTGGACATCAACTGAGCGCCGTGAGATGATTATGCTGTAAGAGTTCTTGAGAACCACAGATAGAGCGGTTGTGTACAAATGAATGGTCAGGTATGGACGGATGTACGTCAAACAGCAAGGTACAGTAGACTCCAGTCTAGTGAGGGAAGGAGGGGCAAGGCAAACAAACCAGGACCTGACGGCAAAGGTCAGACAATGATAGCTGATGATTGGCTCCACTGGCTGTCTATGCAGGGTAAAAGATGTCAATATAGCGGGGGAGTTCTAGTGAAAGGGGACGATAGAGGTCGATGCTCGCTGCTAAACGAACGATTCGTTAGTGAGACCCTGGGAAGTATTTAAATGACAGACTCCGCACTTGTTGGTTTGTCGAAAGCGGTACGAGGTCAAGCAGTAAGGTATGTTGCCGCATCACCACTGCCGTACTGTAGGTATTTAGCGTACAATTAGGAGTCAGTCAGTTGGCCGAGATGAGCGGAGGGTATGATGGAAATTACAAGAGAAATTCTCTTCTTTACTAATTTATTTCTCGTCTCGGTCTCGGTCTAGGTCTAGGTCATGGTCTGTTTACCTATTTGTTTTGACCTGTTGCCTAGACCAAGTAGAGTTTTGCAACTCTTGTGATATGGATACTAAAGTCCCTGGGCTAGTTGTGTCACTTTCGCACTGGTTGGTCAGTTGTTTCATCCACGGTTTCATTAATTCAGGTAGGGCATCAGCTCCAATCTTCCAAGCTGGTTATTAATGAAAATTGGGGTTTATCTCGCGTGGACTGGTCTGAGCTTCTCTAGTGTAGATCTTTGGATGGCACGTAGTTACGCTGCAGAACTATTCGGCCAAACCCGTACTACATATGTTGCTGAAGATTACTGGCTTTTGGGGTATGTATGCAAACCATGGTCTTCAAACCATGTGATAGGTGCTGGTATCCAACACAACTCATGATTTGCTCACGAAGAAAAGCCGAACTGGCATAGATTTCTGCAATAGCCATGCTTTACATACTTTACTAGATGCCAATGAACTGACTCCTTCAGCAATACGTAAAAACCCCGTCAAGATTCCTTGTTGCAGATTCATCCAGGGTCAAAGAGCCCACACAAACCTCAACCGGAGACTGAGACACGTCACTATACCGGCTATTAGTCACTTATTAGCTTGTTGGGATTCAACAACAAGTTGTTACTGAGTGGAACTGAAGAAGCCTCGCCGAGTACAGGGCCGGCTGGCTGTTACGGCATTTCTTTGCCGTTTGCATCCTACATCTGAGGCTTTGCAGTCATGGAGTCGGTGTTGCGCCACTGCGAGCAAATATAAGCCCAGTTGACTAAACATATGGATGGTTTCTACGAACAAAGGCCTGCAAGTTCTGCTTTGATATATTGATCAGTGACCCATGACCTTGCTTTGCCGTGCCTTGCCTTGCCTTGCCCTAAGAGCCCCAGGGTCTGATAGCTGAACATCCCCTGTCAAGGCATTCCTTCGGGTAACAGATCCGAATCATAGCTGAGCACCACCCCGAGACTTGAACCTCTCAATTATGTGCCGAAACTAGAGGTAAAGTCGGCACTGTTCTGCACGCAAAGTACATACATTGGCGTTTTTCGGCCGTATTTAAGGTATTAAGTTGACGTGCATGGAGACAAGGATCCGGACCTCCCGTCTGCCATAGTTAGGTGGTAGGTAGTAGGTACTGTAGACAGTACATCGCGGGTTACAAGGCACCTTGTTGGTACATCTGTTATAATGTAGAATTTGGATTCTTGCGACAAACATTGGTGATGATGTGGTAAATAATTTGAAGCTCAAAAGAGTTGTATGGATGTTGTCATAGCACGACTGCATTATCAGTACATTAGTAGTCCATATAAGAGTTGAATAGAGTTTATTGTTGTATCCATGGTCAACCGAGGCAGTCGCGAAGCGGCTAGAGAGAGAAGGGTGTACCTGCTTGCTCGGGTTACCACCTTCTACCTGACTTGGGTTATTCATCCCGTCATCAAGGACCGCCTTATCTTTTACACTCTTGTTAGAACAAACCCTGACACGACATCAACATCAGCAAAGACAAATGCGATTTATCTAATTCTTATGATTGTGCTTTAACGTCGTGTACATAGTTATTTACTATGCATACATGATCTTGAACTGTCCACGCCATCGGCCCCACCCTATGCTATGCAACAACCTGTTTGAGGGACACGACCTTGTGAGAGAAACTGGAACAGCACTTTACTTTTGTTGTTACCCAAAGTCCCTTTTATTCCATCATTGTTGTCAATTTTGTTATTATTTCCCACCGCCTGAACCTGACACCGCCGATATCGAACCAAAGCCAGAATCAGCTAAGCAGTACCAAGATACTCTTTGACGCACCGAGTTCCCGACTATCATTCCTTTGTTTGATGATTGTCCCGCAACCGTCCACTCAGAACTCGAGTCAACCCACGACGCCACGACACAGTGGATTGACTGCCCGCACCAGGACCTCGCCCACCTCCCACGCCCCTTTTTATTGTATTTCTGGTCACCGACAAGGCTGAGGGAGACCCTGCAGTGCTCAGCTACAATCTCTTCATATTGTTAGAGACAAAAGCTGAGATTCAACACCAATCGATTGGTCGTCATCTGTCCTCGCTTGTCTGCCAGCCTGATCCTTGTGGCCTCGAGTGTCCCGCTTCCAAGTGGAGAAATTTGACGACATTCCTCCAACAGTCACCCCAGACTTATTCCATCAATTGCCCTCTCTTGTCAGTTTCCATTACGACTGTTGTTTTCCCCTGGCAGAATTTGCATAATACCAGTCCAATACAACCTTTTTTTCTTCTTCTTCAGATTTGCGACATAAGACAGCCAGGGATTTCACACTTCAGTTTGCGACAAAAATGCCCCGTCCAAGTTTCTCCCACAACCCTCTTCTCAGGGTGTCCCGGCCTGTGTCAGCCTGTTCCCGGTGTAAGTGTTGAACCCAACTGGCTCTTAGAAGATTCTTGGAAATGCTGATTTTTTGAATCTTATAGGCCGTGCTGCAAAAGTCAAGGTGAGCAAACAGACAGTCTTGTATACATGCATTAGGAGTAGGAGCTAACACTGTTTAGTGTGATGGTAAACTACCAGCCTGCACGGCTTGCGAAAAGGCTGGTCGAGCAAATGAATGCTCGGCGGCTAATGATCAATTTGCGCGGGGCAAAGAAAGAAGGTTGGTTACTGAACTGAACGTTGAATCCATGTTTTTCTCTAACTCATGCCCAGTTACGTGGCTGCATTGGAATTGCGAATAGAGAAGCTTGAAAAGAGACTGCAGTTTGCCAAGTCGCGCAAAGCATCAGTTGCGATGCATGACACAGATGCGTCGGCTTTTAATGTACAACAGATGGATCGCAGGGACTCACTTGCCCTTATTCGCGCTGCTATACATCGAAAGGCTGCCCATAAGAGGGAAACCTTGGATGTCAATTCCCTTGTATCTGACTTTGGATTCCTGTGAGTATGGCGACTGAGTTGGCGTTATCGTTTCAACTGACAATCGGCAGATCTGTCAATGCTACGACACGAGACTTTGAGCCTATATCGACAAACATGACATTTGCGAGATTAGTGTTGGCTGCAACTACAAACGATGCTCTTCCAGAATCTCCCGAGGCCTGTCTGCCTGCGAGGCCAACTACTCATGCGCTTGTTCAGCATTATATGGACAATATCTACTCATTGTTCCCCTGTATTTCCGAGACTGCACTTCTAACCGCCATCGACGATATGTACGACAAAAACAACAGCAGAACTATTCAGCACTCGGAGTATTGGATGGTGTACATGATTCTCGCTATTGGCTCTATATCCCAAAGCCGGCGTAGCCAAGATATTCACTACCAGGATGGTCTCAAGTACGCTGCGAGAGCCATGAACCATGCGGATGAAGCCCTTGCCCCAGGACACGTCACACAAATACAGTCGCTACTCCTGCTCACGCAATATGCTATGCTCGATCCCGCGCACTTTGATAGTTGGCACTCGATAGGGTTTACAGCACGTGCCATTGTCGACTTAGGCTTTCATCAGGATCCTCCTTTGTCTTCAGTGCCTGACAAATCTGCTTTAGATATGCGGCGTAAGATCTTCTATTGCGTATACGCCCTCGATCGGTAGGCTCTTTCTTTTCTTGTCAATGGAAAACCCGCAAGCTGACCCTGATTTCTAGTACAATTAGCATGGTCTATGCCAGGACATTCTCGTTCACTGATGATACGGTTAATGTCGCATTTCCTCAGGCGTCCGGCAACGCGAGACGAGGGTCAGCCTCAGGTGCCCTTTCTGGGCCTCAATCAGCTGACCCTGCCCTGCTACTCTTTCAACTTCGACGAGCGCAATCGCATTGGTATCAGGACCTGTACCAGTCTGGGTCAGTTCCTCTGCCAGATCCAATCTCCTATGTTTGGAGGATGTGTCTCGATATGCGGGAATGGCAAGATACTCTGCCAAACAACCTTGCTCCCGAGATCCGGCAATTGTTTGACCAGGAGCTAAGATACAGCTATGTTTACTGCATTGCGCCCTCTGCTAGGGCGCCTAACATCACCGATTACAACCGTATCTTGATATTTGAGCATTCTATGGCTTATCTTGACACTGCCCACGATATCGCACAAAGCGGGCAGAACTCGGGCTTCTTCACGTACCACGACGTCATGAGGATCTTTTTTATGGCAAGCCAGTTTCTCGCGGTTATACGAGATGCAGAAGACATGCTGCTATCAGGATTGCCAGTACCAATTCCAATCGCGCGCCCCGGCACTGCCCCTGCCCCTCCGCTTCCAAGGCGATTGCAACCTCAAGGAATGAACGGAGAAGATAATCTTGATCGAAGTTTGAGGTGTTTGGATAAAGTCTCACAGACCTTAAACATCTTCGGGGAACGCTGGGTAGATGCCTCACATTTGAGGGAAAATTTTGGGCTGATCTCACAAGAAGTGGTGGAGCGTCTGTCGGAGAGGAGGCAAAGGCGTGATGCTGCTAGAGAACAGTATCAATCACAGTACCAGGGCAGAGGTATGCCACCTCAAGGTCAGGGTGGTTATCAAGCGCAGAACTCACACCAGGCAGAGGGAATGCAATGGGCAGGAGTCGATGTTACACATATGATGCGTGGCGGTTACCCACCACAATAAGTAAAACGAATCCTCAATGGCGTTTTCAGCTGGTAGGAGTTGACGTTTCGCTCACAATCAACGGCAGTGCCAGGAGGTGGTCAATGAGCTCGATGTAGGATGACCACCACTGACTCGTGAATAGCAGGGCGTATTTGCATTAAGGTCTGTTTGTGTATCGAGACATCATTAGAGGGAGGACAGGCTGATATGGCTGATAGTGTCTGGGGTTTGAAAGGGCCTCTAACAGTAGCCTACTGGAAGAATATAAAGACAGGATACCATTAGGGTAGAAAGACTTGGTGTTGGTTAGTGTCTCATGATTTCGGCGTCGCGTTGCCGGTTTTGGGTAACTGTTTCCCTACTAGCCGCAAGACTAAATAACAAATACCACAGCCTCTCTGGCAGTGTCAACAATGGAGGTCCACTGATGCTATGATGTGATACAAATGTAGGAGACGCAGGACTGATAGAATGCTTCTTCTTAACCATTGGTCATTGAACGGGTTGTTCCTAGTAGAGGGTTGCCACCTGAATAGATCGACCTTGGCATTCAAGATTGCGGCACGGATAATTGTTTTGCTCCAAGTGGAATGGTCGACATAGAACATGACATCCGGAGAGAGTGCAAGGTCGGGCCGGGGAAGGAAGGCCGAGTCTTGGCTGAGCGCTGAGCTGGAGCTTCGCGGTCTAAGATTTGGGGTACGAGGTGGTATTGTGAATTAAGCAAGCCGTCCATCGAGTGGTTTCAGCATTGATCAAGGAGTGGCTGACCTATATGAATTGGCTTTTCAGTTTATTTGGAGGGTTCTGGTGTTTTGGGGGTTGGAGTCCACGCAGTCGGTATCGTGGATTCGATGCTATCAAAGAAACGGTTTGCTACAGACAATCCTATTCATTAGACTAGTCTTTAGGGTTTGCTTCTTTTTCTACCCCCAGATTCATCCATTCTCCATTACCGTCCCAACTAACAAGATATCCAGCCCTGATTGACTAGGTAGCCAAGGTAAAATGCCAATGCGGGGAACCGAGATTGAAAGCGGTCTACTCCGCACGGGGTGAATGGGAAAATCGTGGAGGTGGAGAAACGTTTACGACTTGGCTAAGACTGAGCGGGTCTAGCACGGGCAGAGTTAAGTGCAATCACAGTACAATCTAGCTGGACGGATAAATTGAGTTGCGTAGATATTCCACCAATCGTGGCTTTTGCCGTCCCTGCCATCTGGTACGATACGGCTATCATCAGCCGCAGGATGCATCTTCCCCCCATTCTCCACTCCAAAACTGGCAGCAGGCGCCGAGCTGGTGGAGGAGTTGGCATGGGTTGACGCCAAGGGCACACGGAACTCGGCACCGCGTGGGAGTGTCTTTGGTCTATTCTTTGATATTATAGATGGAATTCTTGCGTCTCATCTTTAGATCGTATGAATCGTGGGGGAATGGGAGGTATCTTTGGGGGTTTCGATTTAGGGGCAATAGTTTAAGTCTAAGTCGATTTGCGGGGGTTGCCAATAATGGCTGGCGGTCTGGTCTGAATTAACAATGAACGGATACTACCTCTCTTGTGTTTCGACAGTTAAGCGAGCAATATCACGATAAGCACCTAAGGACATGCACGTGAAACGTATTGTCTATCAGATAAGTCATGGCCTATCAGAAGCCAAGATAAGGGCGCATGGAAACTGCAGAAACAAATGTTTTGGTTCCTGCTTTGTTGGTCAACCCGCAGGAACTTTTAGAAAGCTAGGAGGAAAATAAGGAATCAGTATATCATTTAGTCGGTCAAGCTAAGCCTTTATTGACCGCTTAGAGGAACACTGGTGGTGGGGAAACCGCTCGCGTCCGCAATGGCAATCGTAGCTGCCATCTGGGGTTTCCTGGTAGGCAGGCAAGAAGGGCAGGGCAGGTAGTCTGGGGTCTGGGGGGGCAAGAGATGACTCTAGACCCAGGTCTGGGGGTTCCTTCCTCGACTCAGATAGAGATAAAAGAAACACTAGGGAAGCATCAATCTTGGTCCCTTTTCTACTCTGCTCCTTGTCTCCTTCACCTTTAATTCTCTTCTCACTTCTTTGGTCTCCTTATCTGGGAGTAGACAGTTGAGATTTCCCTAGGGACAACTTTATACAGGCAAAAGGAGCAAGACCAAACACCGCCAACATGCCTAGCAAAACCAGAACCTACAACTGGTTCATTGCCATGGTAGCAGCGTCTTGTATGACACTCTACGGCTTTGACTCCAGTGTTTTCAATGTAAGTCCATGAGTACTCAGTCTGTTACTCGGAACATCTCGACTAACTTGACCTCCTTAGGCCCTCCAAGCTTCCGAAAACTGGCTCAACTGGTTTAACCTCGATCTCAAGGAGGATAGTTACACTGTCGGTCTCATCAACACCTGCTACACAATCGGCGCCATCGTTAGTGGTTTCTTTATTGGTGGTCCTCTGGTATGTTCAGCACAAACACAACAACGATGCGAACAGTATACTCATTACTACATATAGGCTGATTGGCTTGGTCGACGTGCTGGTATGGGAATTGGATGTTTCATCACCATTATCGCAGCTATTATCCAGGCCTTTGCCCCTAAGGGCAAGCTTGGAGTCTTTATCCTGGGCCGTGTCCTCATCGGTATTGGTCAGGGTACTGCTCTTAGTAAGTCATCTAGCATAATTTACTTCTGTGTAAATACTGACTCTTCCTAGCTGCCGGACCCGTGTATATCGGTGAAGTCTCGCCTGCTGAGATTCGAGGTCAAGTCATGACCTTCTGGCAACTTTTCTACTCGGTCGGTGCCTTCATCGCCTACTGGATCAACTATGCTTGTGGAAAGAACCGTGAGAAGCTCGGAGAGTGGGACTGGCGCATGGTTGTTATCTTCCAGGTCCTCGTCCCTATCATCGTCATCGTCTTGCTCCCATTTCAGCCCGAGTCTCCCCGTTTCCTCATCAAGAAGGGCAAAATCGATGACGCCCGAGCCGCCCTTCGCCGCATCCGAGATACCGAGGAAGAGGTCGAGGAAGAAGTCTTGGGTATCCAAGCCGCTATCGAGTACGAGAAGGAGGCAATCAGCCCCGGATACCGCGCACTCTTCAAGGACCCCTCTCTCAGAAAGCGTTTCGGCATCGCTGTTGTTCTCAACGTCGGTCAGCAGCTCACCGGCCAAGGTACACTCAACACCTACTCTACCTCCATCTACAAGCAAGTTTGGACCTCGACCGAGAAGATCAACCTCATCAACGCTTTGTGGGCCACTATGGGTATCCTATTCACACTTAACGCCGTGTGGACTGCTGATCGCTTTGGTCGTCGCTGGATCTTCATGGTTGGTGCCGTCGGTATGGCTGTTTGCATGTTGATCGTTCCTATCATTGGTCTCGCTACTCCTACCCCCAAGACTGAACCCTCTGCTATTGGTATTGTTGTCATGCTCTACCTCTTTATGTAAGTTACATCACGAACTCGGATTGTTTCGGTCGATACTAACATACTATTTACAGCTTCTTCTACAAGCCTTCGTGGGGTGCTGGCGTCTGGATGTGGACCAGTGAAGTCTTCTCTGCCAACGTCCGAACCCAGGCCGTCGGTATGGCTTCCCAGTGCCAGAACGTGGCCAACACCATCTTCCAGCAGTTCTTCCCTACTTTCCTTGCCAAGACTGGCCTCAAGTGCCTCTTCTTCTTCTTCGGCGTTAACATCCTTCTCGCAATCTTTGTCTTCTTCTGTGTTCCTGAGACCAAGGGTATCGCACTTGAGCACATGGACACTGTCTTCGGTGGTGTCGACCACTCCGAAAAGGGAGCCCAGATGCTCGGTACTGATGTTCCCCACCCTGAAACTCAGCAGTTCAAGGACGGTGCGGAGATCCAGCAGAGCGAGAAGAAGCGCGAGTCTGTTTAGAGGAATTGCAGTGATTGGATAATTAAGCTACGAAAGATCTTTGATTATATTGACAGAATCTTCAATGACAATATTGAAGTTCAATACTTTGACACGCAGCTGAGCCTTAACTATATAATGAGATATTGTCAACTTCAAATCATTCTAGCTCGCATATTCAGTACAAGAAGTGATAATCCGGCTCAAGTCCTAGTTTTAGCCTGTATCAACACCAGACCACTTACATATTCTATAGCATTCAGCTTTTACCGTGGTTATGGCGGCAACGTGTTGGTATAATCAAATATTATCATCGTTACGCCGTTGAAGCCAAATCGATTATAATACGTTAGTCTTGGTCTAATATAACTTACCGAAGTAAACGGAAGAGTTCACAAATTTTCATCAATATCTTGTTCGTAAGGTTATTGAAAGGTTATTGTAATCATTCAAACTGGCCGCCCCATGATATTTTTATCCATATTGTTGTACTGTTGGGAAACTACTGCCATAAGCATCTCTTTGTTTTTGCAAGAAGGCTTAGACGAAATATCTCGCCGCCAGGTATTCATTCAAACATCAGGTTTTCACAGAGTAAGCGAAACACCAAGTTAGTTGATAACGACAGTTATTGTTATTCTTCTACCAAAGTATATACAATAGAGGCAAAAGTCGCTTTTTTACTGCGCGATACAAAAGAAGGGCGAGAAAGAGCATAAAGCAATCGACAAGCTGGAAAACCAACCCCTTTCCACATCAACCATCTTCGTCCTTCCCCAAGGCAACTTCACAGGAATCATCTTCTCTCATCAAATCTTTTCAGAATCCAGAGATGGCATAGGCTAGCCGCGAATTTACTGGCACTGGTAGTAGAAGTCGTTGATCTTCTTGCAGGTGAAAGGAGACTTGCAAGCAGTAGGACCGCTGTAGTTGGTACCACCGCACTGGCCCCACTGGTCAACGGTACCGCCGGGGGTGGTAGGGTTGGTAGGGTTGGGGTTGGTGGGGTTGGTGGGCTCAGGCTGGCCCTCCTTGTAGGTGCTGCCGATGGGACCGAACTTGATGTTGGAGAAGGCAACCTTGGAGTTGGGGACGTTCTTCTCAAGGTCGGCGGGCACACCAGAGGATGTGGAGCAAGATCCTCGCTGGGCGCCGAGCTTAGTAGAGTCAGTGGGGTAGGTAGAGTCGAGCCAGAGCATGTTGGAGTGGTGCTGTGTATGTCAGTATCATGTTACATGGTGAATTTGGAATTTGGTAGCACTTACATCGTGCCAGAGAGACATAACAAGAACCATGGGAGCCTCAAGAGCATCGCTCATACCGCCCCAAGCACCCTTCTTCTCAAAGTCATCGATGTCGCCAAAGACCTTCTTCTGGGCAGTGCAGAATTCAGGGGTGAGAGAGCTTCCAGGAACTCCAGCGATCTTGGACTCAGAGTTGGCAATGACCTTGCCGTTCTGGACGTAGAGACGAGTAATCTCAGAGAGACGGCCGTTGCTGCCCTTGTGGAACTGGGTGACGACAGTAACCTTCTTGGTGGTGTCAACGTTGAAGCCGGATCCAGGACCGTAGAAGGTCTTGTTGCCCTGGCGGTAGGCGTTGAAATCACAACCGTCAGCATCGCAAGTTCCGCCGTAACGGTCTTTGGAGTAAGTTCCACCACAAGAGTCACCAGTGCAGGAGTGTTGAGTGAGCTTGGTGCAAGGGTGAGGAGTGTAGGCAGTGGAGATGGAGTTGGCCTCCCAGATGTCCATTTCAGGGCAGCATGTGCCCAGGTTACCAATGCCACCGTTGACATCGCTCTTGGATGGCTGCCAGCCATCGGAGTTGGCCTTTATTGCATGTTAGCTCTCATTCTGAGTTCAAAATGAATTTAAAGCTTACCTGGCCGTTGATGAACTTCACGTCACGGGGGCACTGGGCGTCACAGTAACCAGTACCATACTTAGCTCCAGCCTTGTTACCAGGGTACTTGGCCTTGCCACCGTCGGCGTCCATGCTGACGAAGTACAGAGCACCGTTCAGACCACAGCCGATGTTTGAAACATCGACGTCAAAGGTGAACTCGTTACCCAAGAGCTGGAACATCTGGTAGGTGTTCTCGTCCTCCATGAGGTAAGTACGGCTACCGATGTTGGTACCATAAGTCCCCTTGGTGACAAAAGAGAGGCTGAGCTGGTTGCCGCTGGAGGTAATTCCGTAGGTGCTGGCGTATTCGGCGCCGTCGATACAGCACTTCTCAGCACAAACCTTTCCACTGGTGCAGATGGAAGTGTCCCACTTGTTACCGGTGTAGCAGTTGGTAGATCCGGACAATTGGTGAGTCCATCGCCAGTTGGCATCGATGGTGACAGATCCCTGAACGTTGCTGCATCCGCTAGATGTACACTTGGACCAGGACAAGGCAGGCTTGGTCTCGGGGGTGAGAGAGCAAACTTGCTGAGCTCGAACGGCTGCAATGAGCGCCGAGGCGGTAGCGATAGCGCGATACATTGTGAACGAAAGCTGAACCGGTGGATAGATGAGTGGACTGAAGAAGATGTGATGAGGAGTGCGGTGAAGTTGATCTGGTCTGGGGACTCAAGCTTATTATATACTTGGATTGTGGACATGGACGAAATGACCCGGAACTACCAAGATCTTCGTTCCCCCGTTGACTAACTCTAACATGGTATGATCAAAAAGAGAAGCCGTAGTGCCGATGAGGCTCCATTCTTGCATCTCCAGACAGAGGTCGGGTTGCGGGCCGCGACCCCTCTGACAGGAGAAGGTATGATGGTCAACATTTTGCCTTGCAAAGCTTGGCTTGTCAAAGTCAGGCAGAGTGTAGCTCCAAGGCGGCGACATATCGGAGAAGCGGGCGCATGGGTGAGCAAGTTCCTGAGTCGATCTCCGCAGTAGACTCAATTGCGTATAGTAGATGGCAGATGCGTTTCTGCAAAATGAAAAGAAATAATGAGACCGGTCCGTCGTTCCCGAAGGGGAGAGACGTTGACCTCCGAAGAGGCTGTACTCGCGAAGATCCCCCATTGGATAATCGTCAAGCCTCGGACTGGTGAGGGCGTATATGAAGAGTCCATATTTGTCTTGCTGCGGAGACCTTCTTTCACAAGAAGGCTACGACAAAATAGGATGCTGTCCGTTTCCGGGCCGTCGCTTCCATCGCCTATCGACCTCCTGAGAGCAATGGAGAATAGACTGGAATTACAAAGAGATCGTGAGGTGGTTCAGCAAGTACCCTTGAAGAGGTAAGAAAGAGAAAACATCCACCCTATCGTCTTGTTCGGGCGGATCTTCGTCTGGGATCAAATTAGCCGTACCACCTGGCCAGGCGGCTAACCCCACAGTATATTGACTTCAACGGTGAGCCAAGACGGTTTCCTGTTTGCCACTACTTGGGCATGGGATCTTCCATGTATGCAGTACTGTTGTAGCTTCCATACAAAAGCAATATGGAGAAATCGTTTGTTAAACCCCACCGGGTTATTTTGCCACGGTTATGACGCTTCGGACAAACATGACCTGCAGTGCAAGGCTATGCTTGCTCAGAAACCCGTGGTTCTGGATAGAACCCAACATCCAACTGAACACATGTTTAATGCATATCACTCCTTCGATGGTGAAGAAACCACAGGTATCGCAGACTCTGTCAGTTGTTCCTATCAGATATTATGTTACTTGATATGTCACTTGTATTGATACCTGGGTGTGTAATTCGCAGCAACCAGTTCCGCACACGAAGCATCATGTCTCCGTCCTGTGCATTGCGGCTTGCGCCAGTGAAAGAACTCACGGTACTTCGGGATTCCGTCCGACCGCTTAAAAAAAGTATCGTGGTCCAACTTCTGTAAATTTGAACATGCTCATGCGTTCATTCCACGCCCATGCTCATGTCAAATAACAGAGGGTTTTGGTCATCTGCTGGGTGTTGTGGAGGCTGTAGAAATCAAACCCCTGGCATAGTATGGCCAGGTCAGGCAATGAAGAAACCCGTCGTCCAGATTCAGCAGTTTCGGATACATCATGACCGAGATAGTGTTCCGGTCCCTGTCATATGCCGATTATAGGCCAGGATCCTGCTGCCGATTATATGAAGCCTCGCCAGGCAACCAGTTAAGCCACTTTTGTGACTGGTGGTCTCATGTGACAACTGGTAAAGGTGCATGCCACAATCTAATACAGATGTTGCAGTTGTGGTTGTGTTCTCAACAGCATAGAATTGTGTTGTAAGCTCTTCCAATCTGTCTGGTTTAGTGGCTCAAAGTCGAGCAGTAATGCGACTTCGATCTGAACAACCGCTTGCCGCGACGATAAAAAGTCCGTAGCTCGTAAATAATACCATTTCGAGCCACGGAGCATCGTCAACGAGATGGTCCGGAGCCCGAAACCCTGCATAAAATGGTCATGTCCTCTTCGGCTCGAACCGCCTTGGTAGTCTTGCCAAGTCAGCCTGTACTCGATACTCCACACTCAAGGCAAGTAAGAGGTTATCTCCACACGTGGATGTGTTCCGGGGATGTTGGGATAGCCCATTTCAGAAGTGCGGGGTGAAAGTACGGATAGTTGGCCGACGGATTAGATCGTGGAGGATCTTCTTCCGTTCTGTCCTAATGCGTAACGCGACTTTGCCTTTGGTGGTTCGATAGTCAACGCGATGCAATACAATTGCAAGGGCCTGTGGCTGATTGTCGTATTGGAGTTAGCGGCATCATCTGGTGTTGGTGGAACGTAGTTGTTCCCAAAATCCGTTCTTGTTAAGGGCAGAAAGAGGTTGTCATGGTTTGGATAGGTAAGTAGACGAAGAACAGGTCAAGTTGCCACACGTGACCTTTACCTCAACATCAATACAACTCCTACTATCTGACAGACCTCTCGGCAATAACATGCTGACTTATTGTTCATTGAAACATCGCTTCAGGTCAAGAGCAACCGAATATATTTCAGCATGCAATAGTATCCAGAGAGGTATCACCAACACCCCTTAAAACCACCTATATTCGTGAATACTACAAGGATGCATAATTCGATGGTCTCTTTGTTTCCTCCCTCTGCCCAGCAATTAACAACGACAAAGTGTATTGTTCGCTTGAGGAATCCCAATCCTCCCTAGACGCCATATAATCATCCCTTCCAATTCCACCGCCCCCCAAAAAGCTTTTGCTCGCAAAAACGAAGACACCCAAATGTAACTGGCTATCAGCATGATGCTTCGCCACTATCTCTCTCCTAGCACTTCGACAACAGGGCACATCCCATTCCATTAGGTCGTTATTTAGGGGCCAGGTTTAGGGGCCAAGGGCTGCAGCTTTCGGCTTGCCCGTCCATTGCTCTTACACGGCGTATTTGCAGGTTTCTTCAGGTGAGAGTCTGAGATTTTTACCGGTTGGTTTTGCTCCTCTGAGGTTTCCTAAACCGCACGGACATCTGGAAGATGGAGGTTTTTACTCTGGCGAGGTAGTCTCTGATCACGCTCGTAAAGATAGCCACAGTTGGCACACAAAGTCTGAACAAAGTTAGCAACGAACTAGTCAACTCATCTTGATATGTTAATCTTACCCTTGGACCTGCTGGGCCGTCTCTGACAGCCCAAACGCTTGTGCCCCATATCCTGCAATGCATGCACCTCCACTGGAATCTCTCTTGGTCTGTCAGAGCACCACCACCTCCCCCATAGCCACCGACATCAGGCGTGCCTCGTCCTCCAGGCGTACCGCCCCGTCCAAGCGGGCTCAAACTTCGGAAACGACGCTTCTTCTTAGAGCGTTCACCTCGACCCATTCTCTCTTCTTCAACCTCCATCGGTGCCCCAAATGGTGTGCCTCCAAGCATGCCTGTTGTAGAGCTGAACCGTGCCGTCTCACGGCGCAATCGCCGAACTTCACGTTCGCGGTCACCTTCTCTCTTCTCGATCTCCTCCTTGCTGAGAAATTCTACCTTGGGCTCCCAGTCATCGCCGAGATGTTCCGGTTCGTATCTCCAGCCAGCCTCTGAGCCGTGAGCAGCATCATTTGGCAGCTCTTGTTGTAGACCACCCCATCCGGCAACCAGACCCCCTGCCTCACATGCTTCTTTCTTCAGCCGCAGTACAGCCTCATATATGGCATGGGTCATCGCCGGGATCCACTCTCCTGTCAATCCGAGATCCGTACAAGTAACCTTGGCAAATGCCTCAGCGGTGCCAGGGGGGTGCAAAAGAGACCACTCAAACTTGTCAGTGTAGAGCATGGACGCTAGGTTGAGACTTAAGTTGATAATGCATCGGTAGGTATCGTCGGGGTTGTAATCATCTGAATCGGGAAGTATTGGTGTTGCCTCTGCGGTAACATCAGGAGCTTGGGTTTGTGAGGGAGTTGCCGCACCTCCTGTCTGCGCTGGTGTGTCAGGCCGAGAAGTGCCACGAATGGCAGACGCTGGAGAATCATCCCGAGACTTAAGCGCAAAGCTAGGTCTTGGGGTCAATGCGGTCGTCGTAGGTTGCTGGACAGAGGCGGCTTGTTGATCGCTATGGAACAAAGGGTGCAGTGCGACACCCGAGTATTCTTCGAGCTGTGTCCGGATTTGCTTGCTGATCTCAGCGATGGCGGCTTGTCGATTTGGTAGATCCAGATCCTGCACCAATGTCTGGGCAAACTGGTCAGTCGAGATGAGCGTTTCGTGGAGATTCCAGCAGAATATGTCTCGAAGCTTATAAGGCACCGTCGCCTCCTGTTGACGGTACTGAGGAAGTGAGGTGTCCACCGTGTTAGGGTTCGGCGTTGGGTATGGAGCTGGAGGAATGAACGCAGGAACGTCCAGATCGATTCGAATAGGAATCAGAGTAAGAGGGAGTGTCGCCTGAATAGCGTTCTGCTGATCGCTCCTCAGCAGCTTGTGCTTTGCTATCCAATCGCGCCAGATGCCTTGCACCTCAACTGGCCCCTTAGTATCTTTGCCAACCTTGTCGGCGAGGTCTTGTCTAGTGGCCGAGTCCTCCTTGCGCAAGCTCCGCAATCCCGTTGGTCTTCGACGTGGGTCGTCGCTATCGTCTTCCAGGTCGTCATAACCATCTTCAGCGTAATTAATGATGGTCGTTCCTCGCTTAGTGGTCCTCGAAACGGGGCCGGCGGGCGCGCTGCTCGGTAGAACAGGCGTGAGGAGGGAGTTGTTGTAGGCGCGCAGTCGCGGCGCATAGCTCGATAAGAACGCTTGGGGCTTTGATCGTTCCATTGTGTGCGTTATAGGACCTCGACGGTCATCTCATGCCGCGGAAAAGGGAGCTAGGCCAACACGTGAAGAGCCTTCTATGGCTATTGCCCCGGTGCACTTTGGAGTTGAGACCCTGGTGCAAGTATGATATTCACGCGATAATAGCAATAGTTGCGCTACAGCTATGGGGGTGAGAGATGTGGATGTTTGGTGCCTGTCGTGATGGCTTCAAGGCTCGATGCTTGATGGAGTCGCGAACTAGGGACCTTTTTCTTAATCGCGTCGCTCGGTGTTCCACAAGTTTGCTGTAGAGTGCACGGGCCATGCCGGGGCCGTGATGATTATGTAATACTACCCACAGCTTACCCTGCATCAAATATCCTCGCTTCCAGACATGAATGCATGTGAATAAAAGAAGTAGTAAGCATGTACAAGTGAATTCATCCCTTTCATTTCATCAACCTTCCTAGTGGTTATAGCTGTTTTTAATAATAAACATTAATTATGTTCCATCACAGTTCCTCGCCCGAGTCTCTCTACACGTGCCAGACCAATCCATGTCTAGATACTCACCCTAGTTTTAATGTATAAGCAACCGGCTTATTCTTCTTCATCAGAGAATTCAAGCTTGGCCTCATCCTCTGAGTCCTCGCTGGGGGTGAATTTGACAGGCGTTGGAATGTAAATGGGGTGACCCCAGTGATGATGAACACATGGCTTCTGTGTTGACTGCGGTGGTGGTGATGGTGGTGACCAACGACTGTGTTGTTAGCGGCAACACTTACATTGACCAGTATTAGCCAGGAGTGGCTTACCCGTAGGAAAAAAAGCACACGTCGTAAAAGGTGCACTTCTTTCCTCCATCAGTGTCGAACGTTTGCTTAGATTTACCACACCCCACGTATTCTGCGGCGGGTTTCATGCATGCATCTATCTACCTGTCAGATCCAGCAAGGCTGAGAAGTTTCAGGACGACTTACAATAATCGTCGGTGTTAGTTTCTTTGCGAAGCCAACTTCCCACTGCGCTTTGGAGAGTAGCCTCAAACGATTGCCCCACGCAATCAGTTGCTGTGTCTTCCATATATATGGCTTGGCCTGATATCGGATACCGAGCTGGGCGATAATTGAAGGATACTTTTCCATCAACAATCTTGTCGGCCCAAGATTTAGCGGATTTTTCAAGAGATTCATCCCAGGTAAGATCATTGAGTCCCTCTGCCCGGCGTGCCTCATTGATGTGGAACAAGCCAATCGCATTGTCTTCTTCGTCTGAAACAACCCGAGGGTAGCCAGAGGAGAGTATGGCCAAGGAGGCCAATACGAGGGTGTGGAGCATGCTTTGGTAATAAGGGAACCTGTTCGAACGAAATAGTAATGCCTGAGAACCCGAGTTCAAAGACGTGTTGGGGGGTGAGTTGATAGTGATGATGATCGTATAATGACTGGTGAATAGCGGGAATTAATGGATGCGAGAAATACAGCTAAAATGAATGAAGCTGGAGAAGCTGAGAGAGTAGAGAGAATGATGAAGAAGAGAGATTGTAGAGAAACTAGTCGACCTCCGAAAAGATCTTGACGTTGACTGTGATTAACTGGGGAGGGAGGAGCGATGACAAGGTTGGCATAAGTTGTCAACGGCACAAGAGCTCCTCTCCATTTGGATTGTCGCAACTTCCTCGAAGATTTCTTCTGTACCAAAATCCTCCATCCTCGTGCAATGCCTCAAAATGCTGGCAAGTCCATCCGTGTAAGTGACAGGGTCGATGTGATTCGTCAACCTTCTACAGCTTCTCTTCTAAGCCATTGGACCCACAAATGACGTCTCACAACCAAGACCCTTCTTTCTTCAATTAAAAACATTTCCTCTAAATCAACTCCGACATCGCCATCACCTTCCAACTACATTAAATTATACAATATGGCCTCACGAGCACCTTCTCTCGCCCCCGCAGCTCTGCGACAATTGCGTGCTCAACCAAAGCGCCTCTCTTCCTTCCTGCAAACCCCTCTTGCCCGCCCTGTCGCAAACCTAAATCAACAATCCTTCCGCGCAGCACACAATATTCCCAGACCATCTCCCCGAACATACGTCAAGCCGAAATCCGAGCAGACGCAGGTGGGAGAAACGCCCAAGAGCGAAGGCGAGAGGCCAGAGATCAAGCCCTCGCATTACCAACTATCATTTACCTGCGTTCCCTGCGGCCATCGCTCCCACCACAATGTCTCCAAGCAAGGTTACCACTTCGGGTCTACGCTCATCACATGTCCGGGTTGTCGCAACAGACATATTATCAGTGACCACCTGAATATTTTTGGCGACAAAAGCGTCACCATTGAAGAACTTATGAAGGAAAAGGGCCAGCTTGTCAAGAGAGGCACCTTAGGCGAAGAAGGCGATATTGAATTCTGGCCAGAGAATTCTCTCCCAGGAAGCAAGGCATCTAACAAGAACGAGAGCTCAGACTGATCGGCGATATTGGATGGTTACTGGATAGAGTTAAAAACAGATAATGGTGCACGATAGTGTAAGAGCATTGGGTGGCGTTGATGGAATACCTTCCTCTTCAGACAGGAATGATCATTATAATAGTCACGAGCCCAATAGATGGCCGTGTTTGCTTTTCATATTTGACATACAAATGACTTTTACTATGAATCCATATAACAACGCCATGAAACACACATCTTGTCCAATTCTACAATTCCTTAACGCCCGTTGATGCAACACCATCAATCCCCTTACCATCGCTTGAACGACTGTCTCATATCCTTCTGCTCCTTGGACCGTGTCTTGAGGCGGGACTTGTTCTTTTCGAACTTCTTCCTCTTGTCCCGTCCATACTTCTCCGGCTTTATAATCGCATCGATCTTCCTCTTGCTTGATCGTTCCTCTCTCTTCTTCCTCACCTCCTCCCTAATGGCGAGCAACTGCTTAGAGTATTCAGAAGTGCCGAACTTCTTCTGCAGAGAATCCATAAGAATCTGTGCACGTGTCTTGAGAGCCTCATGCTTTGTCTTGAAGAGCTCATCGTTCGAGAAAGGAGGGGCAATGGAGGGGTCGGTGAGGTTATGGAGTGGCACAAGGATGGTCTTGAACGATGGCCGAAGACGTTCTAGGGAAGACCTACGGCACACAGTCTCCAGAAGCTCCATCGCAGCCACCTTTGGTGTAATGGCCACAGCCCTGGGAGGAATTTCTCTTCGAATGACGCGAGAGATTTGTCTGAACATATGCTCAAGGTCTGTCTTTCGCTCGCTCTTCTCCTCCTCGCCCTGGTCTTCCTCCTCCTCTTCCTCATCTTCTCCGTCACCCTCGGGGAGACGAGGAGCCAAGAAAGCAAGAACCTGGACAGCTTCCGCTCCTAGCTTCTCATCAATGTCTCTCGTTGCCAGGACACCCAGAACGAGTCTAACCAGGTTCTGCACCTTTGGCAAATCGAGCGTCAGACCATGGCTACCCTCTACCAGCTCGCCAACGGTTACATCACCAGCTTGCTGGGCAAAGTCTGCCAAGTAGGAGCTTGTCAAGCCTATAGATGATATCTTAACTGAAGGTTCTTGGTGTGACAGACATCTGACAATGTTGGACCACATCTCCTCGCTGTTGCTTGCCAGGATCTTTTCAGGGAACACAGCCAGAGCAGCACGAATGACTTCGAGGGCCGCCTCTATGAGCTCTCCGTCGACTTCTCGAATGTCCTCGTTCTCAATAACGCCGTTGATCTTCTCGAGAACAAGTTTGAAGTCCTGCTTGTTCTTGGATGCGTTTTCACTAGATTCAAGGTAAAAGCCGAAAACCTGGAAAGCGAGTTTGAGCACTGCTTCGTTTCCGCCCTGGGCCAACCATGTTCGCACGAGTCCAAGGAAAGTTTGAGTTCGCTCCTTATCGGCTTTGCGAAAGATCTCCCTGAGAAGGCCTGCAGCTGAAAGTCTGCATTTCTCGCTGTCGTCGTTGGCAAGGACAAAGAAGAGTGGGAGGAAACAGGTAGAGGAAATCTCTTGAACAAAGTCGTCCGATGACTTCATGAGGAGCAAGTGAACAATTTCCATGACGGACAGACGACCGCCCTCTCGCTCATACTTTAGGTTGGCAACAATAAAGTTGAGCTGCTTAGCCCACCTGGCCTTTTTCTGAGGGTATTCGCGTACGAACTGGAAGAATGCGCCTCGGGCAAGATCACGGGTATCCTTGTCATCGTTAATGATCATAACTGTGCCCACATAGTCCATGATGTCGTAAACAGAAGCAGTTTCAATGCGTCGGTCCAGAACTGATCGCAAGAAATTGAACGTGACATGACGGTAAAGAGGTTCAGTCAGATCGTCCTTCAACTTTGTGATTAGCATATCAATCGCTGCGTCCCCAACAGGAGTGTCACGACGATCCCGAAGAACAACAGCCAGCATCTTGAGTGCTGCTTGAGCCACCTCAGTAGTGGTGGAGACTGACATGGAAATACTCTTGGTTGCTTCCTTGACTGCAACCTTGTACAACTTCGACCCCTGATCGTCACTAAACGGCACCTTGACAATGACGGCTAGCAAGCGGAAGGCAGAAATCTTGACCTCGTCCTCTCCACCAACCATGGCATCACCAAGGATGGGAATAAATCCAGTGACATTCTCAGGAGTGCGCAAGCTGTCATGCTTCTTCAGGATCGCCCTCAGAATATCGACTGCAAAACGAATCAGCTTGTATGTGTGCTTAGTCGTTTTGCCTCGATCACCACTCTTCTTGGCGCCCTTCTGGACGAGGTATTTCTTGACTCGAGGGTCGAGCTTCTCTTCAACTTCAGGCTTTTGAGAATTGTAGACATCTTGAATCACTTCGTAACAGAAAACCAGGGTGTCGCGGCTTTCAGCGGCAGGGTTTTGTAGAAGACCAGATGTTATACGTGACATCAAAGTATCGAGTTTTCGGACCATTTTGAGATCAACCTTCTGCATAAGAAGCGCTCGCAACGGTTTCACCAAATCAATGAGACGGCCAATAGAGGCATTCTTCGCGATGAGCTCCATTGAGTCCTGGCTCTTGCTGCTCTTGATCTCCTTGGTTTGTGTCGTGTATCCCTCAGCGTCTTTCTCTTGTCCAATCACGCCGAAGATGTCGTCCATGACAACTGTCACGACAAAGTTGAGGCAGTAATCCAGGTCGCCAGGGGCGCAGCTGGGAACGATAGCGACCAAAATAGAGTGCATTGTGTACGAAAGCACGTGGAGCTGGTATCCTCTGGTCAGAGCGCCTCGCAACTCCTTGAGAAGGAACCCAAAATAAGACGAGCCCAAATTGACGGCTATCTTTACTAGTGTGTCTCGAGCCATGTCTCGGGCCTCTATAGACTTGCTGCGGAGGATGTGACTGATATCGGTCAAAACACCAGCAAGTTTCTGGTCCATCTGATCCGACGGCAACAACTTCAAGAGTCTGACGATGATGACACCAACCGGGACACGGTAACTGACTTCTGACTCGTCCTTTTCGTGAAGATGCTTGACCAGTGTAGGCAAAAAGAAGTTGGTAACATCAACGCTAAGCTTTTCTGCCTTTGGAATTGTGAGAGGAAGTCTGGTGGTGCTTGATGAAGATACATCAATCTGGTCCACATCCATGCGCTCTTCGGAATTGTTTTCAGCTGCGTCAACAAGTGCGTCGGCAACCTTACTCAAGAGGCGGATTGTCAGCTTTTGTTGCTCAGGCTTGGCCGCAACATAACCAATGTATCGCTGGAGGGTGGTGCGGTAATGCTTCCAGTGTAAAGAACTTGCAAGATTGCCAATGGTGATGATTGCTTGAGCGCCAAGACCGTGGTCGTCAACTCCATCGGCACGACCGAAGATGAAGTGTTCGAGAAGCGGGATGAAAAATTGGGCCAGGTTTTGGCTTCCAAATTCCTTCTGCTTGTTGGCAGCCTCAAGAATGTGCAGAGCCTCTAGTTGTCGTGCTGTCGCAGGGCTTAGAATGTTGAAGAAGAATGTTAGCTCAGAACTCTCTTCGTTTCGGTCGTTCAACAATGCACTGAGATCAGCAATGGGCTCCCATTCGGGCATGGTTGACAAAAGATGACCCATTACGCGGAGGTACTCTCGTCGAGAAGTGTCAGATGGCTCACGAGCACCAGCGTAGAGAGCAGGCATGATGACTTCTCGAAGTTGGACGCCAAACTTTCCCTTGGATTCTTCGGACGAGCAAGCTGCCGCATCTACAATAAATCGGCGCAGTCCGTCGGCGGAGTTAGAGGCCAGAATACCAAACTCAGCATCATCTCGAATATGAAAGATAAGGTTGTGAAGTAAGGGCAACCACTGCTTGGGAGTCAACGGGGCTTCCCGATCACCAGAGATTGCACTATAGGCAGCTAGGCGTGCATCGTAATCGGGCTCATCAATACGACCTTCTTTGAAGGAATTGAGTGATGCGCACAATTCGGCAACCTCTTGGAGATTGCTGTCTTTTCCAGCGATAGCAAGCAGCGCTCTCGACAGGGACTGTCGGTTATCACGGTCTTTGAAGTAGCTGAAAAGAGACGAGATAGTGTCATAAACGTCGTCAAGAAGTGACTGGTTGTCAAAGGCGCTAGAACCTGCAACATATTGCTCCGCAATAAGCAGGATTCTACCCTTGAGCTTGGGACTGACTCTTCGAGGTGGCTGGTTGAGAAGGAAAATAGAGATTTTGATAACGGCCTGGACATCTTCGGCATCCTGAATAATGGGAGACATTACCAGGATTGTCTCTACACAAGCTTCCATAAGGTCATTGCTGATGCCAGACATGTCCAAAACATTGGATATCTGTGCCAGAATTGCTTTAGAGTTGGGCTCGAGAAGCTCTGCCTTGATAACTTCGTTGAACTCGCACTCCTGCGCAGGCGCAGTCGCAAGCTTAACCAAGTTGCGAACAATTGCCAGGACATGAATTTTGACTGCATCCTTACCCTTCTCGATCGACAAACATTCGATGACCTTGGGAAGAATGCCCTCGGGAATCTTGTCATGTGGCGCAAAGAACAGGGCGATTCTGGGGAGGACAGACCAGGTAGCAAAGAGCTGAAGCATACCAGAAACTCCCTGTGTTGTCTCGCTAGGCAAGTTTTCCAGTCTTGGTACCACAATATTTTCGAGGATAACATCTTGATAAGGTGCCCATTGGAAAGACTGGGCGTTTTGGAAAAGCGCAATCAAACACTTCAGACCAGTGGACCGAATAATCCTCAAGAGAGACTGCGTGCTGGCCTTTTCTTCCTCTTCTTCGGGGGCGTCCTCTGGGTCGCCCTGACCGCTGAGTTGTCGGCAGGCAAAGACAAGACAGTACAAAACAGCATTGAGTAGTGTCTCTAGATAGGGTGTAGCGTTGGTACCGAGCTCCGAAATAACGGAAGAAATCATGTTGAGGAAACCAAGTTGCTTTCGGACAGGGAGAAGAGGCTCCTCGAAGATCTTCTTCGAGGCACCAACAACCTTGATATCCTTCAGCTTGCCAGTGGCAATGTCCAAAAAGCTACCCATATCTTCAACACTGAGGTTTCGGAGAACAGCAAGTCGAGTGGCTTGAAGGCCATGTCGGCCGCTTGCTGCTCCCTTCTTGGAAATGGTGCGACCATAAAGTAGTCGGAGGAGAACGGGCATCAACTCAGCTCTGTGCTCCGGCTTGATAGCAGTTTCGTCTTGGAGAAAGACTGTAAGCTCGTTCTTGAATCGAGCCTCATCCAAGAGGAACTCCAGGTTCTCTTGGTAAGTCTTGATTGCCTCCTGCTTCCAAGCAAGGATTGCCTTGAGGGTGACCTTTTGAACCTCAGCGTCACCATTTTCCATCAATTGCAAGAGTGAAGTATAGACTTGCTCGTGCTCATAGAGGACACGAGGGTTAATGAATTGGGAGAAGACTCCGAGCATGGCCTTGCGGTCTGTAAGAGACCAAGTGGCTCCCTCAGAAGCTCCTTGACCTTCGACAGACTCAGGGGTTCGGTCTTCACTTGCCCAGGCGAGGAAGTGTGGCACAAGTTGACGAGACCTCCTCTCTGCGATGAAGGGGATGGCATTGAAAACTTTTAGCGCGCGCGACCTGGCGTTGCCAGCGGTTGTCTCAGCAGTTCGCTGCTTGTCATCAAAACTCTGCAACATCAGCTCATCTGGGTGGTCGATTGACTCTTCAACCTCAGCTGCAGCTTCTTCCAGTCTGCGCACGTTTGTGCATTCAAAGTCGGAAACAAACGCGCGACGAGAGCTGTGGGTTTCGGGCTGCGAGGCACCCCATCGAGATGAAGGAACCTTCAACCAGCGGAAAGCAACCTCGCAGACTGTCTCCTCTCCAGCCCTGGTCTCTGTGATTTGCTTCATAGTCTCAACCGAATCATCCCACACAGGAGACAGCTTCACCGTGAGCATGCCGAATAGGAAAGCAGGCACAGCCCGTTGTAGCCAAGAGTTATCCTCAAATGAAGCGTAGTTCTGGCCTAACTTGCGAAGAAGCATAGCAATCGTTCTTGTATGTGTGAGACTCAGCGGGGTCTCTTCGACCTCGATCATGGTCTCGACGGTATTAAAGCTGTCTGTTGCCACATTAAGCGCCTTGAGTAGATTCAAAGATGCTAAACGGAGTTCGTGTGATGGAGAACTTAAGTTTTCGATCAAAGACTTAGTAACTGGGTCCTCCTCAGTGGATGAACTATCACTACTTGTGCTATCTTGTCGTCGAGCAGACTCGTTTCCCTGTAGAATTTCTTCGTAGGCGAGATATGCATGCAAGAAGCTGACAGATTGAGAAAATCGAGGAACGGCTGCACGCAGGAGCGGGCTCAAGGTGATGTCGACAGAGCCAGCAGCCTTGCTCATACGCAAGTAGGCGTGGAATCCCTGCCCAACAATAAAATGAACCTCGTCCGATGCCAATGTGGAAGAGGGCCGCAGCGCGAGCTTTAGCTTCCGGAGTAGAAGTTCGGCGATCTTAGCGTTTGTCGATGGGTGAACTGTTGTGAGTTCAAGAATCTGAAGTAGCGCCGAGTACTTGGGCAGGCACCTATCCCGCCAAACTTGAGGATCTTTGTTATAGGGGCCGCGTTCAGGGAATGGCGAGATCTCCAAGCGTTCGAACTTAGAAACGATCTGACCTTGCCAACCCTGTGACATTCTGCAGCTGTCCTTCTCGCCGGCCAAAGGAAAAGCGCCATTCTCAATCATCTTTGGCAAGAGGACACAAAGCATATCTTCATTAGACTCTTCAGACCAATGACTCGCAATGAATCTTACACAGTTAGTAAAGGCTCGAAACTAGCAGATACTCGGGATTTTTACCTTTGAAAATCGTTACGAAACAAGCTTCCGAAGCGCTGAGCATCCAGCTCGCAGAAATAAGAACAAAAGGGAATGAACCATTTCATGAATGGCTCCCGAGTCAGAGATTGGATGAGAGGATTAATATAGGGTATCAAAGCATCAATAGGTGCGTGGTGCCAGACAATCGCAGTGCTGGCCATGACAAACCTCCAGACAATGCTTGAGGAGTCCTGTGGAGCTGCTTCCGTAACACTGGAAAGCAACTCGACAAAATTCTTGATAAGAGGCGACCAATTACTGATTCGGTATCCTTTTCGAACACCGGCCATAGTTCCGTATATCCTAATAAGGGGTACAACCTGCCATTGACGGTCGGTAGGAGCTGTCCGCTCCATGTTGGCCCGGATTGCCGCATGCACTCCGTCTGCGAAATCCCCAAAAGTCTCAGCAGTCGCATGATGTATAACACTGGTCAACACACCACAGACAACATCGGTCCATGTGGTATCCTCGCTGAGGGTTCGCTCCTCTTCAGGAATAGCGTCGACCAGTGCGACGAAGATAGCTGGAGCAGTGGAATGGATAATGTTGTCGGTACCCTTGATGGCCTCGGCAAACATGTTCATCAATCCATCCTTGTACAAAATGAACTGACGGTCGTCCTTGATGCTCAGAAGATCGTCCCGAGCGCATTCGACCAGGCGCTTTAAAGCTGTCTCACGTTGTGAGGGCGCGGCTGCCTTTTTGACCAGGAAACTAAGTGCTTCGGCTGCGAATCGGGCAATATGAGGAGGATGTCGTGACTTTCCGAGTAGTGGCGCCATGACTTTGAAAGTAGGTCGCAAGTCAGGAACGAGTAGTTTAGAAAGGTACTTAAACAAAAATGCGAGGGCTCCAAACGTCCATTCAATAACGTCGGCATCCTGTGGCTTGGCTGCGATAGCCACGATTAAATCCAAACTTCTGCCATAATGCTTCTCGAATCGAACTCCCAAATCGTGGGAGAAAGCGGTTAGGAGGTCTAGTAGCGGCTCCAGAGCTTCCTTATCCTGTCCTGCTATAAAGTCGGCGAGCAGGTCCATGATGCGCTGCTCAAAATGGAGCAGCTGAGGCAAGCTCTCACAAAGAGGCCAGACCTTTGTCTTGAAAGCAGAGAACGGTTTCGAGACATTGAGCTCTCCCCATTTTTGCAGTCCGGTCTGAAAGTAGGATGTCGAGGTCGAAAGGTCTTCGTTATCGAGGTCATGACGGCGAACTTTTCGTAGAGGTTGAAGTGAATTAAATTTTGAAATTTTAGTAGTAAAAGATTCCCACCGGTGATTCTTTTGGTGGGGTGTTGAGTTCTTGTTCTTCCGCGCCTTTGTGATGCGCCCTGAAGAGTTGGCCGGCATCTTGGGCGGTGTTGTTTTGTATGTAAAGAACTTGGGAAAATGAAGGTCCAAGTCTTTGCGAAAAAGAGCTTCTTCACATCCATACCGCGAAAAGATGTCCCCGCCAAAACTTTTTTTATCGGTTCATAAGCGGCAAAACCGATAAGGCGGCGCTAATGCATGGAGCCCCATATTGGCCAATCATACTCGCGCCGCATTCTCTTATCTATTATAGAACTCCAACGCGCTCTTCATACACTTTCATCATAGCTTCTTTCATTCACATTCCCTTCACTTAGAAGTTATCGTGAGAAGTCTAGGCCATTTCTTGTCACAACAACCGCCAATATGGCTGCACCTAAAATGTGAGTGATGCTTTGAATCTTCACTTGCAGCTCATGATCTAACAAATTTTATCCAGTATCGTCTTGGGCAGCCTCAATGGCCAGCTTGAGCCAGCATTCAAGAAGCTAGCTACCCTTCATTCAAAGAACAGCTTCTCCATGGCCATTCTTACTGGCGACGTCTTCAGCGCAACACAAGATAACGATTCGGTTACTGCGCTTCTCGATGGAACCCTTCAAGTCCCTCTGCCGACTTACTTCACCATGGGAACTCATCATTTGCCCCCACGCATCGCCGCAAAGGTCGAGGCCGAAGAGGAAATTTGCGAGAATCTACATTTTCTCGGCAAGCGGAGCATTACTAAGACGTCTGACGGTGTGCGAATCGTCGCTCTCGGTGGTCAATTAGACACGAACCTCATTGCAGGCCAGTCTAAAGAACAGCACCTACCATTTCACACAGTCGACGATGCTAAGAGCCTGCGCGGTGCCAACAGCGCTGATATTCTCTTGACTTCGACATGGCCAGCGGGTGTCTGGACTGGTTCTCAAGTTGCGCTTGATCCTACAAACCAAGCGTCCTTGGCTGTCTCAGACTCGGTCGCGGAGCTATGCGCAGCACTTAAACCACGATATCATTTAACATCCTCTCCTGAAGGCTACTTCTATGAGCGAGAAGCGTTTGTGCATCCTATCGAGAAGGAGACCGACAACACTTGCGTCACGCGATTCATTTCAATGGCCCCATATGGCAATGAGGCTAAAGCAAAGTCTCTGTATGCATTCAGCCTCAATAAAGGAGACGCATCAGTACCCGTCGGCGCCACAGCATCGCCATTTAACCCCAAGACCAAGAAACGTGCCCCTAAGGAGGACACTTACAACCGGTATGGTGGTGACGAGCACGAGAGGGGACACAGGGGCCGGCGCCAGAAGCAACGCCATCGATCACCCCCTCCAGGTCCCGATAGATGCTACTTTTGTCTCTCCAACCCCAACTTATCTTCGCACATGTGTTGCAGCATTGGTGACGACGCCTACATCTCAACAGCCAAAGGCCCCTTGCCTACGTCTACGACCTTTACCGAACAAGGCCTTGATTTCCCAGGTCACTTGATCATCATTCCATTACCACACAATCCGACCATCCCCAGCATTGGACCAGTCGCGGATCCAAACGGCGAGGCTGCCAAGACCTATAAAGAGATGAACTGCTTCCGCGAAGCTATCCAGGCCATGATTGCTGCCAAGAGCTCCCACAAACTTGGCGTCGTCACTTGGGAGATCAGCCGTGAACGTAACGTCCATCTGATTTGGCAACTGATGCCCTTACCTGCCGAGCTCATCCACAAGGGTCTAGCGGAAGCTGCTTTCAAAGTCGAAGCAGAGAACCAGTCCTGCCCAGCTTTCAAGGCACAAGACCTGACTCTCGAGCAACAAGCTGAATCTGGCGGCGACTTCTTCCGTGTGTGGTTGTGGGCAGATGATGGTGAGGAGCGTATTAAGGGCAAGTCCCTCGTCATGCCTCTGCCCCCAGACAAGCATTTCGATCTCCAGTTCGGTCGACGAGTGGTAGCCAAGCTTCTCAATCTCGAGAACCGCCTTTCATGGAAGGGCTGTGAGCAGACTGTTGAGGAGGAGACCAAGGACGTGGAGGCGTTCCGCGAGGCGTTCAAGGAATGGGATTTCACTCTTCAAGACGGCGATGAAACGACTGCTTAATACAATTTGATTTTTGTATACTATACTGGAGGCATGGGCGGCGTTTGATGAAAAGGAGTTTTCACAAGGTCATTTAGTCATTTTATGTCGTATTGGACCGGCTCTGAGGCCATTTGTTTTCTGTATCCCAAGCTCACACTTTTAGACGTACTGGTTTATGGATCATAGATCAATTGAGGTTGGAATTAAGACCAGAATCACACATATACCGTGTCAAAGCAGAAGAACTATGCCATCTTCAAAAGGTGATATAACAGCATGATCCCAATGTTGCAACAAGAAAGAGACAACTGCGAGAGAACTGTAAGAAATGCTGTCAACCCATACATTGCCCAAACCAACACTTAGGTTTATGCTTCACCCAAATGGCTTGTCTTTGAGTCGTTTCCACTATGATGTTGATCATCATCCATGGTAAACTTGCGACTGAACCTATTACTTACTAGATTGGCCATCATGGTCAGTCACCGTTGAGGAGCAGCAGTTTAATAATTTTAACTTTTAACTGTTTTTTCCCTCATCTGTAGGTATCTACTAGCCAGGGCATGTCCCCCATAAGGCAATGTAATAATATGTACAAATAGCAAAACCATCTTTCGCCTGCCTGCCATAAGGCGGATGCGTTCCACCAGCTAGTCCTACAGAAAAAGTACAGCAGTACCAATCTTCCATGATACTGCCAAAACCAATATGACCTGTGCCTGTTTATGTATGTATGGACAAAGGAAAAGAATACAGATACAGGTCTGAGGGTTGTTATGTAGTTTTTCCAACCTCCTGAGTACTGTTTTCAGGAAGTGATTGTTTGAATATGTAGTAATGAACAAAGGAAAAGGTTAACCAATCCCGGTTCCGTCGGGTTTGGGTGGGTATAGGTGCGACAATATGCGCGTATGAACGTTTGTAGGGTGTGATGTATACGTGAAGTTGAGGATGCTGGTATCAAAAATGCTGTGGAATAGAGTACCCAGTGACAGATGCAAGTCGGGTTGTGCCCGGCAATCAATGGACTTCTCCAGATAGGGGTATTTTTCCTGATTTCCCCAAATGAAGGTATTGAAAGGCCGAGACACCTGGTATCGAAATGTCTATTGCGAACAGAGCCACAGTCGTAAGGAAATGCTTGTTCCCGAGACATGTATTAGAAGCCAAAAATGCAATTCCGGAAATCGCCAAGTCAGATGCATGATGATGAGTGAAAAGAGAAAGATAAAGAAGAATGCGCGCCCGAATGCAGAATGGGGAGGATGTTGGCTCCCTTGTGAATGAGGTTCCATCGATGAACCATAAACGTAAGCGTGTAAAACATAAAGAGAAAGGGAAAGGTTAATCGGTGAGCGAGAACTCGTAGTAAAGATCTAATATCGAAGTCGTTGCGGTCGTGGTGTAGATATGAGCATGAGGGTGATTATCGTAGTAATGATTAGTTGCAAGTCAGGTTATCGAACCAAACAGGCATCATTGGTAGAAGGCGAAAGATTAAAATGACCGAGACCTGAGAGAGCGGACAAGGTGAAACCAGCACCAATAGAGTCGGGCTCTACCACGTGCATCACAAAGACCAAGTCGTAAAGATCAGTACGTCTAGTATGAGGCCATACGGCGCGTGATTGGGGAGGCACCAAGGCGGGAAATAGATGCATGGAGATGAGGGTGCCGTGAGCTAGGTCTGCTGGGGGCAGTAGGCGACTCTTCCACACTACGCTCGCGTTGACCAAAGGCAAAAGTAGCGGCTCGGCTAAGGCCCTTGCGAGATTTCAATCGACCCATTTCGCGTTCACATGTGCGCTGGTGAGCCTCATCTGACATCTCAACGTATTCTTGGGGATAGCATCGACCACGGTGCTCGGTGAAGAAACCAGAGTATCCGCCGTCTAGGATGTAGACTTCAGGATACGTAAGCTTGGGGTAGTGCTCAGCATTCACGGTGCGATCCTCAGAGCGAACATGGCGAGCCATAAGGGGGGCACGGTGGGCCGAGTACTCGCAGTGGAAGATGAGAAGAGTTCGTCCATCCATGGGAGTCTGGAAGAGCTGGTTTGTAAGTAGGTCCTTGTCATTGTAGTTGACAGCACCATCAATGTGACCACCCTCATACTCGTACTCAAAACGGCAGTCAATCACGATCTTCTGGTCGAAGTGAGAGCTGTACTTGCCGTCCAAGACATCGACGAGGGTCTCGCGACTGATACGAGGAATGGTATCAGTAGGGTCTTCAAGGAGGAAATGGGGGAGGACGGGTTCTTGAGCCTCCTCCACATCCATGACCGATTGAAGCGCAGGTGAGGGTGTCTCCTCTCCATCTGAGTTGCTCTTCATGACGTCAGCAGGATGCTCGAACATGCTCAACGATCGACGGAACTGCTTGCGATTCCTGAGAAAGGGATTGGACTGTCGGCGGGAATGCGCGTTCATGGAAGGAGAGGCATTATTGCGAGAGCAAGCGTTGAAGTTGAGAAACTGGGGTCTAGCACGGCCAGCAGGCATACCGGGGCAGGGGCTGTTGGCGGATACGGGCCTGCGCTCCTGGGGCGGTGACGCTGTCTCGAAGCATTCACTTAGAGACAGGTTGGAGCTGGTGTGGTTGAGACGAGATCCGCCAGCACTAAAGCGAAAGGGAGTTGCGTCAACAGCGTCAGCCTGACGGTTCGGTACCGCCGAAGTACTAAAACCCTTCATCCGTGTTAGGGAAGGTCGTCGAGGCATAGCTATTTTGCGGTTTCTGATCGACGTCAGTTGGTGTGGGATGAGGAATGTGGGAATATGAGACTGACTCAGCTATGATGGGCTTGGGTGGTTCCAAGGAAGACTGCCGAGAGATGGGAGCCGGCGAATCAAGCACCATTTCATCGTCAGCGGCTGGTGTAGAGCCGGGAGTTGGAGATGTAATCTCGAATTGGGTGAAGAAAGGGGCCTTGTGAGGCAGGGGAGAGATCTCCATCAACTCCTTGAGCTCAGCCAATTGAGCGGGTGATGATGTCGGCAAAGGGGGGGTTGTTAGGGAATCTACTTAAACATGCCAGTTAGCTGCCATATTCTGTGTTCTGGACTGTTGTCAACCGTTCTCACCTCGATCTTGGAAGCTGCGCACCATGCCAGCAGTGAAGAGTGCTCTTCGAGGAGTGTGGAACTTGGGACTGGAAGTATGTTAATTCAAGACGCTTTTAAACCAAGTACTAAGCAATAGAACAAACCTTGAGTCACTGTCAAGTCGGAAGTTCTGGGAGATGTCAGCAGCCAGGCTTGTAGCAGGCGAGGCACGAGCGTCCTTGACGTTGAAGTAGTCGCCGTTAGAATGCTTGTGCATTTGCTCACGCAGACTCATGCTGGCAGATGTAACGGACGACGTCGCATAGTGAGGGTGTCCGCGAAAGATGTCTCTGCTACCCCAGCTAGGAAACATCGACGGGCGATGCAGCGCCGCTAAAGGAGAGGAAGCTTCCATTATGGTGATGGAGATGAAGCAGCGGGACGATTCGAGGGAACTCGAGTTGAGTCGAGCTCTGTCGAGGCACGTCGGCTACTAAGAGATATTGAATATTGAACACACGGCGACGGAGGAGTGAAGAGGTAGTTCTGCAGTAAGTCAATGCTGCAGTAACACCTCTATAATGCTATCGAACGAGCGTCTGAGTAAAATCCTTGATTGATGTCAAGAATATTGGATCGTATCGTATCGTGTGTAATAAAATCGAGTGGCTATCGAACCAAGGGCTAGAGGGTGGATGGGAGATTGGCTCGCGGCGGGGTCGACGATATCGTGGTGGTCGGTCGTTATAATCGTTCGAAGGACATTTGAAGGATGGACGAACGAGACTCGACAGGGACTGAATCGTGAATCGACGATTTAAAGGAGTCGTTAAAACACGATAAGTTGAGTCGAAAAGACGTCGACGTCTCAGTTCAGTTTCTATCTCGAGAGGGATCGAGATGAAAGGCTGGGTTTGGATCGAAGACGAGAGTAGACCAGAGCCGGGTGCCAAATTGACCAGGGGGCGGCTGGTTGCTGGGCGGATGGCGCAGGACTGAATCGCACAAGGCAGAAGAAATACGCACAGTCCAGTACCAAAGTCGGAACAGGACAGGAAAAGGGAAGACAAAGAGAGAGATAAGGTTACTCTGAGTACTGTAAGACTATACGAGCACACCGAGACAAAAAGAACAAGAATTGAATTTCCCCTCTTTTTTATCTTCCTTTAATACGCCTTCTTTTTTTCTTTTCTCTTTCCTTTGAATCGAAGTTCCTTGGTGGGTGTCGAGTGCGAAGTAGTTGAGTGGTAAAGCGAATGGAGAGATAGTTTGTCTAATTGGAGATGTAAAAAAACGATGGCTAACCGTAACCGTAACTGTAACCGTAATTTCTTTCCTTTGGGAGAAGTTGTCGGGACGGGATGGAGTGGGAGAGGGAAGATGTGAATGCGGGAGCAGAAGCCTTTTGAATGGATTCACTCAAGCCCAGTCAAGGCAAAACCCGTCCCGGTTGGAGGTTTTTTCTTCCCAGGCGATCCCACCAAGGTTGTTAGGGGTGATTTGGGACCTGTACTGGGGCCCTGGGGGTCGCTGGGGAGCACCGACTTACAGTGGAGTTTAGTGGAAGAGAATTGCACGCCCACTGATGGACCTGACGGGTAAGGTAAGTGAGCTTTGGGTCAGTAGGCGTGTGAAGTAGAAAGAAAGGCAGGCAGGGGGCGTGCAGGTTTAGTTCCTGGGCAGTCTAACAGTCCCACATTTGCGGGTGCCCTCTTTTTTTGGAGGTACCTCACTTTCAGGGCCTCACGCTCACACTCACACTCTACATCCCCGACCCGTCAAGGCACAAGGCACAAGGCACAAGGCACAGACAGATCCAGCTCTTAGCTAGCAAAGCAACGGCCCTGGCTTGGAAAGCAAAAGGTGAAGCAAACCACAGCTCACGCCAGTCTCCTTCTCTCCACTTACCAGGCCCTGTATCGCTTGTTGAATGGACGTCGCCCCGGAGCATGGCGGGCGGTTGCTCAGCGGAGGTGGGCCATCCTTGCAAGCTGTCCTGGAAGGGTTTCCGTGTCTGGCGCTTAATAGGTTCTATCCAGGGCAGTCCATTATTCGGTACTGTATTGTGCTGTGCTATGTTGTGCTGTGCTCTCCTGTGCCTTGGTTTAAGCTATGCTATTTGTGTAAAGTCTGTGCCTTGAATTGAATGATATGCAGTTCGGATTTGGATGTTTTGCATCAAACTTGGTCTTGGTCCATTCTCCATACTTTACCAGAACTACTACTTTACTTAGCAGGTTTGTTTACTTTTATTCATTATTGGAAATGATCTAATTGTATACATGGATCTTGATCAATGGCATCCATTCCCGGCTTCTAGGTAATAATACTTTTGCTTCTAGAGCCAAGTCAGCATGGTCGCGCACTGACATGAACATTTAAACATCAGCCCAGCTTTCAAACTCAAGATATGCCTTGTAAAATATACCGTTCGCATAAAGAACACAACGGCAGACAAAAGCCTAAATTCTATATACAGTTTACTAGCCATCACAAGAATACGCATTTGTCGGTGCTCTGTTAGCCAACATATCATGATAATTATAGAATGCCATCTTTTAGTCTTTGTCTTTACCTTTGTCTTGAACTCGTATCCCAAATGTGTACATCCAAATCTTGGAGATACATCCAACATTTCATCGTCTTTGTTCATGATCTCGATTTAGCACAGACAGACATCATCATCAAAACCTGATCTCGTTGCGTGAATGATCGACCGTTTATTTCAACACCTATTCCTTTTAGGGTAATTCCTCCCCCTTGTTCTGCGTCTGCTTCTGGTTCAGGTTCAGCCTTGACACAATCATCAGCATCCAATGGATAACTAGAATAACTATTGTACATGTCTCGTCTCTTACACAAATTACTTAATGCGTCTTTCTTCTCTCAATGCACCGACCAACCAGGTTACATCATAGCTATGAATTAAGAAGCGGTGAGGGCATTCAACATATAATTTACTGTAGCGATACTAGGTCTGAGGTGCGAAGCGATGCGTCTTCCCGTCCCGCGACGCATATTAAATCCTAACGGCTCCATCATGAATTGACGATCAATCCATGACCTGGTAAGCGTCGTCCCAGTAACATCAAGTTTGAAGACGACGTCGGAAATGAGATATCACGAGAATAGAACATGCGATGGATGCTCTAGAAGACGATCCCAAAGCATGGATACCGTGGCCAAGCGCAAGGCAAGCGTTGAACAACAATAACAAAGAAGCTTCACGACTCCATTCACCCTGCAGTCAAAGAGAATCATTCTCGAAATAACAATCAGCTAATCCACATTAAAGCCACTAAAAAGGGTTCACCAACCATGGGGCGGCGTTTGTTGCTTTCTTTTGCGCTGAAGGGTTAATCTGCAATTTGTTTATATTGCAGATATACGGTTATGAATAAGCATTGACAACATTTCGATATCTCATCAAACCTAGTAATTGATTGCCATACTGCCACTGTACTATTCCCGAACATACATACCAGCCAGACTAAGAATTCTTGTGACCTCTTGTGACCTCTCTCTTAATCCGGAGTCCATTTCAAGCCTCCCAATCACAAACTGAACACTCGAGTGTAATTCATCGAGTCTGCCATGGTTTGCTGTGGCTTGACTCGTCCAGAAATCCACCGTCGCTCCGGGATTGGACAAGTGACTTGTCTGTCAAAATGTTTAAACAATAATAAGCCAAGTCACGTCAATTGCCTGTCAGCCAGCTCTTCTTTCTTAGACAAGACGCGGACGGTCTCTCCGCTGTGGCCAGATGCCACTAATAAGGGCGCCCGTAGTGGCGTTACCCAGCAGTAATAACCAGGATACGTCCATGAACAAAGAAGTCGCCAACGCCTCTGTCTAAGACGCTCGATGCTTGTTGGCCGCCAAAGTTCGGAATTGCGGGATGTCTCTGCGAATGGTTGAGACAGAAAACAAATAGACTTGACTAGAGTCTTGGTTAAAAAGATTGGAGACAGAGTCGATCTAGTTGGGTCAATCCCAAAAATGATCAAAGAGTGATTGTCGGGTACGGTACGGCTTCATCTTTCCGATATAGTATATCGCTCTATCTCTCCCTGCGTCTCTAAATCTCCCTCCCTCGAGTTAAATACATAATAATTTCCTTAATTCGTTGCCAAACATCCGTATTGATCTTGTTCGTTATCAAATAGTCTCCTCTTTTTGAGACAGAGACAGAAAAAAAATAGGTAAAAGGCTCCAACTGTCCCCATTTAGTTTGCTCCAGTTCAAATGTCAAAACGTTGCCTACCTTTTTTGGTGCCGGGCCTTTGTTCTACGCTGGGAATAGCATATGTACAAAATGTTGTGGTTCCCGGGTACATGCATTTCCAATGAAAGTCAACAAATGTCAACCGTGCTTCTGGGAGTCAATGGAGCTCAAGAACTGTGTAGAGTACTGTAAGTGATCTGATTGCTGATATGAACCAGAGCTTAGGGGAGAATGACGTTAGCCCAGCTAGGATCTGGTCCAAGGTCACGGTCACTGTAACTGCCAACAGCCAAAACCGGTTCTTTGTTGTTTGGGATAACTGCCTCATCTGCTGTAACAGTTCCCTCGAGACCCTGGTCGAATTGAACTTTGACCTGACTAGCCTTGCCCGCTTGCCTCGCCGTTTCAATACCTGGTCTAAGCTTATGCCAATTCTTTATTCTTCAGGAACATATTGATATCTAGTGCAGTAGTACGCATGTACAGAGTGCTGTACTGCGTGCGTATAAGTTAAGCCTCGGCGACTCTCGGGTGGGTTTTGGCCCCAGTCCAGTCCAGTCCAGTCGTCGTCAGTCAGTTCAATGGCTTATGGGCCCTGTTCCTGGTCTGGCTTCGGGGTTCCTCACAACTCTGAAGCCGCCGGCGTCGGCTGAAAGCTCACCAGAAAGACGCCTCTTCAAGGTCGAGACCCCGGTTGCTGAAGAGCATGTCCCTGCAAAGAAGACCAATAGCTGAAATTCGGAAATCTTTGTCACTGAATCCAGGACAATGGTTAGAGCTCGTGCATGCCCGCTCACAGCTTCAATTCGAGTGTAGCCAGGTAGACAAAGGATGGAGACCTGCTCCTCTCTAAGAGGAAAAATTCAGGGTCCTTTTCTGGTGGTCGTGAGACAGTAGCACTCTTGCACTAGGGCCCTGGTTCAGAAACACAGCGGTCCCACAGTCGAGGTCAGCACAACGAATGACAATTGCGATTGACGATTCATAAGACTCAAACTCAATAGAGCAGGTCTGGACTTTTTTGACTCGATGACGGATGACATCCGCATTCTTGGAAAGAGTTGATTGAATCGCAGTGGTTGAGTTGTCCCCAATATGTGAATACCTATACAGCAGTTGCCAACATTGGCAGGTACTGTAAAGCGATGACATAACTATGGTTCCTGTCCTGACCGGATGCAATGCAAGGCATTGTTCGGTTTGTGCAAGGTTACGCTGGGATTTTCAATTTACGCAGCGTTGTTGGGTCAGAAGCAAGATCCAACCCATGTCTAGTCCGATGCTAGTGTCCATATTGGAGCAGCTGGCGACAAGCGACGAGGACTCGAGTGGACAATAACCGAGGAGGGGCGTGCGTAGAGAACCGAAGAGTTCATGCCGCCTTGTATTAGAAGCTTAGCTGTCTGTAATCGCTTGGATGGATATCGCGGTTCGCTTCATCAACCTACATTACCGACTTGGATGAGTTGGACTACATATGTGATCTTGCGCATATTCCGGTACCCATATGCATTCAGAAATCTTTAGATAGATCATCAATTCAATGGCTTGCAGCTCGCGTATGATAGGCGAAACGATCAATAGGTTCAGATGCAGTTTGTAGATCATCCAACCATCCATCCATCAACATATATAGAGTGTGGCAAACCCTCAGAGCCGCTTCCCAAAAGCAAAATCAAACCAGCCGCTGTAGATATGGAATAACAGCTTCTAAGCTTTCCATGACTGGTATTTGACTCTGCTTCTTCAATGGCCATCCCCACGTGCACATACACAACAGGGTGAGGAATGCAAGGCCCTTGACTGAAACCTTCTGTATCGGTATTAACTGGAAACTCTGGTACGGTGAAAGAGGATCATCAAAGAGAGTGGTGGCCAAGGGACCGGACCCTTGAATTCCTGCGGGAGGCGTTTCGTTCCGGGGTACAGGTTTTGAATAGATGCATGTCGGTCGGTCGATCGACGGCATTCTCTAACAATAGTTCTCGTCCTGGGGTAACAGTCAATGTTACCTACCAAGATAAGGAATTGATGAATAACTCCAGATAAAACATCAATCACTAAACGGATATTCGCGCGGGGTGTCGGACGCCAAGGTCAGCACTCACCAATTCCTCTTACATCCAAAGACTTGAGAGCTGTCCAATGGCAAGGTAGAAGCTCGATATGACGAACTGAACTTGTTAACCTGTTTATTGATACTCCGCATATTACCCTTGTCCACAGCCAGCCTTGTCTACGTGTGAGAGAGTGTCTGTACGGGTAAGTGTATCATGATTGATCCATTTTTGTACGCAACAACAACAACTTGACTCTCTTCCTCGGCATTCAAACCCCGAGCGCTATGGCTCTTGTCTGTGGCCCTCAGCGGGACGATCGAACATCCTTTGCTTCTTGGGGACGCCGCACACCAAAGAACAGTCCGCCAGCCAAGCTGATTCTTTGTTGCTTTTGGACATATTTTACCCCTCTTCTTTGACATGCTGACCTACTAATAGGTAATTGACTTTGACCCTATACGATCCTATCCAAGCCACAGACTGACTGATCAATTGACAGAAACAAAGAAAGCCCACCAACCTCGAGGTTTTAGCTACTCAGTCTAGGCTGACTCAATTGCCGGGAACCGCATGGCTTAGCCTGGTCCTTTTCCCCTCCTCTCGAAACAAAAAAGCACTGATGCGATATCCATTATCGTTAGGTCAACTGCAGTTAGTCCGGCTGTGGGCGTCCCTCTACAGTCGTCTCAAAGCACTGCCTCCGCTGCCAAGCTGATACTATTGTTGCTGACACTGCGGCAACCTCTTTCAAGGTTTACCAGGGTCACTCCCCGTCAATGGGGGTCATATGGTGCATCTACGGAGTAGCCCTAGGCGGGGGCGAGAAGGGAAGAAGGAAGAGGAGAAGAAAGAACTGGAGCTTTTTGATGACAACTGCCGTAATTTTGAGATTGAGACTTGTATTGTGGTATCAATCTTTTAAATATTATATTGTAGTAGAATGGAATGTAGAATGAATACTGAATATTGAATACATATCTGCTGCTTATTATGATGATTTCAGTTGTGGTGTGGAAAAGAAACACCAAACCTTGATAACAAAACACCAGTAACAAACTACCAACTGACGTTAGCTCCAACCGTCGACCGCGTTTTTTTCTCGAGTCTGACGCGATTTTTCGAAAATCAATGTTTACTTTGAGCCATTTTGGGTAATGAGCTGTGTTCCAGTTTCAACTTCACCTCACTCTCCCCCACCAGACGAGCAGTAACTAGGGGAGTCAGGTCAGTCAAGTCAGCGTCGCTCGGTTGCATCGCTTCGCTTCGCATTGCATTGCATTGTTCGTACCTGGAAAGTGCAGCGGCTCCGTCCTTGTGACTATGATGATCCAGCGACTCAGCTTGCAGAAGACCCTAGTCACTTTTGTCGTATCAACAAGCATCCATATCAATCCATCAGGATCGGAAACGGAAACATCCAGCTCGTCAGCCCAGATTTGTATGTACGCGAATCTCAAGTTTCAAAGGCCTGTTCAATTAATCATTATTGTCTTTTTTTCTATAAGGCTGTGAGTGTATATAATAGATGTGAAACCAAGGATTATTGTCAGTTGGTACCTGCTACTCAGTCCATTGAACTAACCAACCTGAAATACCCGTAGTCCTGCAACGGTTACGAACATGTCTCCATCATCCCAGGTGGAGTTGATATGCAAATCGTTATATTTTCTGCCTCACTTCCTTGGATTGAGAGTCTTAGCTTGACGGGCGGGCGAGACGGATAGACTGCCTAATGGCTCCGTGAAGCAACCGTCCAAGAGTTCGTCTCCTTCTCCAGAAGCTTTGGTCCCAGTGTCCCGCATTTTGAAGTTTTTGCTATCACTAGAGACTCTCTACTAGAGAGTCAGCTCAGGCTCTAGAGTCAACGGCGTGCTGTTAGCGATATTTCGATGACGAGAGGTTGCGCTACACCACGCTATCTATTCGTTCAGCTATCCTCAACCGCCTTAGTGGGAGTACCGTACGTACCGAAAAGTGGCAGGTTTTGCTTTATTCATCCGGGCATTTCAAGATCGCCAATCTCGATTTCGTTGTCTTAACTAGCTCTCAATTCAGATGTTCAAGGTCGGGGATTTTTATCCTGTTCTTGGTGGCGTTAAGATGAAAGTATCTTTTGGACATGATCAACAATAACAACAGCTGAAAACCAGGTTTACCTAGTTTCTTGGCGGTTGATTGATTGAGTTTACAGAGTATGGACAGGCCTACTAGACACAGAACGCTGATTGACATTGACAGCGGGATTTAACAAACTTGACAGCTTCGTAAGCACCTGAAAAACTCCCTGTATTTGATCTTCTTTCACTGGGACTTCCTGGCCAGAATGGACACGGCCCCAAGAGTCTCAAGTAGGCCATATCGTCGATCCACGACCTTAAATCCCGATCTCCCCTTCTGGCACCGTCTGAGATTCGACGTCATTCTTGGCCGAGGCCGTCTTTTTCTCTGATTAAAACATCGTCATCGCACAAGGGTTGTTTGGTATATGAGTGTATGTTTTATATTATAACCTGGCAGGTCACCACATTTACGGTACACACGGTCAGTTACGTTTGTTACTGACCCTAATAACGGGCGCTGCGCACGTACTGCCGCTGGGAGTAAAGCCTGTATTTGTAGTTATCGCATTCCTTGCAGAGGTTCGTGTCTTCTAAAAGTGGTCAAGTTGTGCGTCACAAACTTTCAATTGAGAAGCTTTTGCCTGACTAGTTAGACGCGACTGCAAAGCAGGCTATGAGTAGAAATTTTCTTATCTATGACCGATTGAACTGTTTACTCTGCTACTATATAGAGTCAAGTGTTGACCATCTCCCCAGAGACGAATTGCAACTACTGCATGCATTGCAGCGTGCATAGCAAGCATAGCATAGAAAGGCGAGAGAGACGTTCCACGCCAAAGAGTGAGCTGCAGCTAACCTCACCTAAGCTACCTGCAGTGCATGCATGGTACATGGTATCTAAAACTAATTTATCAGATACAGCCAATCGCTGGCCTGTATTGGGGTTCTTTGGTTTCCTGGCTCGTCAGCTAATGCGGGATGGACCACGAGTTGAGCTCCACCACGTCACCCCCTCCATCCCTTTAGCCAGGGCCTGAAAATTCCCTGAAGCCCGTCCAGGACCTATTCAGCGCGAAACGTCTTCTGACTGTCGAATGAGGGGTAAACTTTCCATGACAAAATGGCCATGGATGGTGTGATGTGATTGATATAACCATGTGCAGGATTCTTGTTTTAGAATTGACCAGGACAGAGAAACAGCTTTAGCCCACTTGAACCCGTAAAGCTTACCCTGTTCTGTTCTGCTGCGGCGTGGGTTCCCAATTCGTGGGGTAATAAATTGGCACCCGCCTCCCAAAGTAAACAAATCCAACACGTCCTCGCGTCAACCCGTTCTTCTTGTTCAGTGGATCACGAACGCGGCATCACGTGAAGTTTCTTCGCGACAAATTGGTGGGTCTCAGGATAATGGCATTAACGACATGTTGAATTGATATATCAGTGCATCAATATCAAATTCTAATATGTTAATTCGTTGGTCACTAAACATTTATCTTGAACTAATATTGATATTTACTCCAAGCAAATTCAGTAATATCATACGTTACAACCATCATCTTGGTTCAGCTGGTGGGTTATTCTGGAAGACTTCTTTGAACTAAGCAACTTGATGAAT